CACCGCCACAAAGTTTTCAGGAGATTATGTTTCTCCAAAATTGTGTACGAGAATATAACTGCCTATGTATGCAAGCTGTAAACCATAGCTATACATTCTTGCTTTCAAAATGTAATGTAATGTAATGGGGCTCAAATAACAATTATGTTTCGCTTTTCCGTATTTCATGCTTTAATTGAGTGACGAAATTCGTGTTGCGTTCCTGTAAACACTTATTAGGTAGGCCGTGACTTCTACAAATTTAGTGCAAAGAAAAGTGGTGGATGTTCCTAATGAATTTCAGTTAATATTCAGACTAATACTTATAATAATAATAATAAAACATTTATTTCAGAAAAAATCCATAAAATAATAATAATACACTAGTCAGCACACAAACAGTTCAACAATAAAAATAGAAAATGAACAATATACTAATTCAATTAATTAAATATACAAAGGAAATGAATTAGAAACACATAATTATATCAATACAGTAGTAACCACTCTATGTCAATATTAGCTATCATTATGTCAATCAGTCAATTAATTTGGAGAAAAAATAAAATAAAAAGAAAATCATACACATTTCATAATGAAGAGTGAAATAATAATAAGGATATGTCAGTCTTGTCCGGTAATTATACACATCCATTTATGTTGGATCGGACAATCAGCGAGAGAAGCAATCATCCCGAGGATGCCATCGCTACTGTCTCTCACTCGTCTTAAAAAAGAGGCAACCTTTTTTCGGATTATAGCTTGATAGCTATCCGTCCGGGCATCAGCAAACATTTGCGACGCACTGCAGTAGGGAGGCAGCCGCAATAGCACCCTGAAGATGTTGTTATATTGAACGCGCAGGACCCTGGCAGCCCGCTGAGTATGATTCACCCATAGACTGCTCGCGTAAAACGATTGGCAAAATGCCTTAAACAAAGAAATTTTTACTGGGGAGGAGCACCGAGCGAATCTACGGGCAACCATGTTTCCTCGGACCGCCAATGCCCTGCGCTCCCGCTCCAAATCTGCGTCATCGGACAAATCATCCGTTACAATGTGGCCCAGGTACTTAAAACTGGTCACTCTCTGCAGTTCCTCATCATATAATTTAATTGAAGGAACACGAACTGGAACGGNCAGCAAACATTTGCGACGCACTGCAGTAGGGAGGCAGCCGCAATAGCACCCTGAAGATGTTGTTATATTGAACGCGCAGGACCCTGGCAGCCCGCTGAGTATGATTCACCCATAGACTGCTCGCGTAAAACGATTGGCAAAATGCCTTAAACAAAGAAATTTTTACTGGGGAGGAGCACCGAGCGAATCTACGGGCAACCATGTTTCCTCGGACCGCCAATGCCCTGCGCTCCCGCTCCAAATCTGCGTCATCGGACAAATCATCCGTTACAATGTGGCCCAGGTACTTAAATGACGACGCTTGTAGCTGAAAGTAAGTATTGTACTTTTTGACGAAGCATGTTGCTGATGACTCTATTTCTATAATCTGACGAAGCGTGTTGCAGATAATAATATGTAGTTTTAGGTTATTACAATAATATTTAGATATTCAGACAGAAGAAGATTCTTCGAATAATTAAGAGTTGATTCACGCAACAAAACGTAGTTTCATAAGGAAACAATCAGAAAATCAATTATCTATGTATGCTTTTTGCCCAGGTTGGCCCATTCATGTCGATGAGTGTTACAATATAAAAGAGCCGGGAATAATCGAAAATGATGTAATGCTATAATGCTCCGTGTAATCATTCAGAAATGGAATCGAAAAAACACTGATGCGTTTTACTTTGTGCTTCATGAAAATGTTCAGCATCTTATATGCAAAGGGTAATTAATAATAATTTAAAAACATGTTCTTATGAGATATTAAACATTATTGTAAACTATAGTGTTAAATCTAACTGATTAATTTGAAATGTTATATGATTGTTGATGGTTTGGGATGCATTCGAAAGTACGAACAGTAGAAAAAATCCGGTACCAATATATCTACCTATATATATGTAGATAGAGGTTCAGAGATCTTTTTTACCACGTGCCATCCGGTTTTGGAATGAGCTCCCCTCCACGGTGTTTCCCGAGCGCTATGACATGTCCTCTGTGGAGAGTACTTAACGGAAGGCAGCGGCTTGGCTCTGCCCCTGGCGTTGCTGAAGTCCATGGGCGACGGTAACCACTTACCATCAGGTGGGCCGTATGCTCGTCTGTCTACACGGGCAATAAAAAAATAAAAAAGGCTACCTAATAAATGCAGGTTAAAAATGCTAAAATGCAAATTTATTTCAAAGCGAATGATTCAAAACAAGACAAAGAAAATAACTTGTTATTATCGTATGCAGTAGTAGGAACGTAATAATTTACTATTAGTCGTACTTGTATCAGAGTTCAATCGATTCAGCAGCCACGGGAATGTTGGCTTCATTTCTTAGCAGGGAAACTTGCACTTTGTAACAACCCGTTAATAAAGTTCATTTTTTTATATAAGTAACGTAAATAAAACCTATGTTATTGATACGCTGCCATACCTTTCATCCAGTTGCGATCAAACTTTGTTTTATTACTTGCAATTACTGATGGTAGGACGTCTTGTGAGTCCGGACGGGTAGGTACCACTGCCTATTTTTGCCGTGAGGCAGTAATGTGTTTCGGTTTGAAGGACGGGGCAGCCGTTGTAACTTGAGACCTTAGAACTTATATCTCAAGGTGAGTGGCGGCATTTACGTTATAGATGTCTATGGGCTCCGGTAACCACATAACACCAGGCCGGCTGTGAGCTCGTCCACCCAACTGAGCAATAAAAAAAAGGTCGTAATATTGACGGTGAGATAACCATAGGCTTCAGTTACCACTTAAATCCCGGTGAGCAACGGTTTTACGGTAGGCAACGGCTTAGCTCTGCCTCTGATGGTTACCACTCACCATCAGGTGGGCCGTATTCTGGGCTGCCTAGACGGGCAATAAAAAAAAAAAAAAGCTTCGATCCTTACTATCTATCTACAGTATTGGGAGTAATTTTTATGTAAGAAAATTGAAATGCAATAGTTATCCTTTAATTAACATAATATGCGTCACACCGTAGTCGCTTGCAATCCCAGCAATGTCCGCCTGATATAAAAATAGACTTGTAGGATCACCGCAGGCTGCTTTCTTATTTTTTTTATTTATATATAAGAAGATCGAGTTGTAATTATTCGTGGCATTGAACTAGCCAGCCAGCTACGATTCCTTCGCACATCAAGACTGGCTGGTTGTTGACATGTGACCTTTAAGGATCCTCTGGAATTCTTGTTCGCGCTCGCATACTAAGGGATCTGTATTTATAACAATTCACCTTTGTAGCGACAACAATTAAAAGTAATTAACTACCTAGAAACTCTTGAAGGCTTGTTGTTGTAAAAACAAACTTTTGAGTTATATAAGAAAACCGACTTCTGTATAATGAAATTAGAATATCACCAATTTAGTGGAAACTTAATTAAAAATACAAAGAAAATGAATGAGACCGAAAATATATAACTTAAGTAATTTATTCTATCATTTTTTATGGGTGTATTTATAAAACCAGGTGGTTCGTGTACACGCTTGTTTGTGGAAATCAAATATGACATGTCAAATAATGAGTATAACTCATTGAAGTATGAAACCTAGGTCTATGGTATAACTATGTTTGTAGACGTTAAGAAAATGAAAATCAGAAATGTGCCTTATTTTAAAATCAAAATCTATATATTAATACGTGAAGCAAAAACTTTGTATCCCTTTTTACGAAAATTGTGCGGACGGAGGAGTATGAAATTTTCCACATTTATAGAGAATATAGAGAAGGAGTGCACAATGCTAATATTTTTTTTTAAGCTAATGCATAAATAATGCATTAAACCAATAAAGAAAACATTACACACACCGACATGTATTTGACACACACACGCATATCTTCTATTTTGTTTATTGTTAAAGTCTGTGGTCAAGGAGGGAATAGATTAATATTGTTTTTCTATAATATTATATGTCTTTATGGTACCCTTAGCGAAATCTGTGATTATAGAAGTAATGTCTTTGATAATAGAACCATAATAACGTTCAAACTTATAATTAAATTAATAATTATATGAGAATTTCGACTACCGGGCGACCACTAGTATGCATTATTTCCCCATTATTAGTGGATTAGTAACGCAGAAAATTTCAGGGATATACCAACATACCAACTGCAAAATGGAACCTTTTTTTAGGGCTGATGGAACTAAGAACACTGACTGATTCGGTAACACAATGACGGATTCAGGATTCGGTAACACAGTAGTTCGCGCCCCTGACTGAAGGGCGGCAAATCGAGATTTACATTCCCACCCCGGTAACCGTACTCGTCGAACTCGACAAGGAGGTCGACGTGCAACCTAACCCATGCATCAGCCGGCTGAGTTTCTCGCCGGATCTTCTCAGCGGGTTGCGATTCCGATCCGGTAGTAGATTCATTCGCGAAGCAATTGCTCTTGAGTTGTTAGGTCTCCTTCGGAGGCGCTCGGGCAGTTGTTAGCAAATCCCACCTCTCCTGGGTGAGCGTTTGCTTGCCCACCGGTCATGGTGAAACTGGAAAGGCGTTCGGGCCAACAGTAATCTTAATCATAAAAAAAAATTACATTCCCATATCGGGCAAACCTTCAAGTGCCGAACTAGTTTTTTAATAAATGTATATAACCTTACGGCACCGGTTACCTTATAACCTTAAAAAAAACCTATATAATCATATCATATCTATCCCTGGTTCTCATAAAACCAGAAATCTTTGCGTTGGGTCACGTGACCACGTTTTATTGTCTCGATTTATTATTATTATGTGACCGATGCGTAATGTTTTGTCTAGACCTGAAGACCCACGGCCTCTCAAGCAAAAAATTCTTAATGGAATGTTGAATGAAACATTAAAGTTTAGGCTCAAAACATTTTTCCTAATGTCCTGCTGTTGTACTAACACTAAACAAACTTTATTTTAATTTCAGGTGACTTCGACCAAAAAACCATGTCCTAAACCAGAAGCTGTGCAAATTTGTAAAGATGGCCTCGTTGACTATAAGATATTTCTTGCCGTATTTGCTGCTTCCATTAGTAATAAGAGGAAATGAAACAATCCTAAATGGTAGATCTGAAAATTAATATTAATTAATTTAATCTAAAAAAAAAAACAATCTGACTCGTTTAATCTCCCCGGGATCGATTCATGAATAATCTCAGTGTACGTTCGTAAATCTTAATTTGCAATGCATATTTCTTTACTCATAACTAAGCATACACTATAACGTAATAATAATATAATGTAAGAATATACTGAGACCTTAGAACTCATATCTCAAGTTGGGTGACGGCATTTACGTTGTAGATGCCTATGGGCTCCGGTAAACACTTAACACTAGGTGGGCTGTGAGCTCGTCCACCCATCTATGAATAAAAAATAATAATAAAATTTAATGTATTTAGGTGAGTCGGTAGAAGATACCCGCCAGCCTCGAGCCAGTGGAAGAATAGTCAAATTGTACTCAGGGGCTAGACGAGAACCAATCATATGCTCCAGTGATGGTTTTAAGGCTGATCCACACGACTGCACTGTGTTTTACAGGTGTATGAAATCAGGAAGTGGAAAGTATACTATTTTTAGGGTAAGGCAATAAATACTCTGTGGATTTTCGATTAGTTTATAGGAANATACCCGCCAGCCTCGAGCCAGTGGAAGAATAGTCAAATTGTACTCAGGGGCTAGACGAGAACCAATCATATGCTCCAGTGATGGTTTTAAGGCTGATCCACACGACTGCACTGTGTTTTACAGGTGTATGAAATCAGGAAGTGGAAAGTATACTATTTTTAGGGTAAGGCAATAAATACTCTGTGGATTTTCGATTAGTTTATAGGAAAGAAAATCTTATGATTTGGAAAAATAACTTGTTTTTTCAATTATAAACTATTATTATGTACATGTGTACTTTTGAGTATGTACTTAATATATTTATTTTGTATGAATCGGCGAATGAACTCATGGCCCGGCTGGTTTTAAGAGGTTACCATAGTCCATAGATATCGTAACGTAACCGCCACCACCCATCTTCAGACATGAGGGTGAAATCTAAACCTAAATAGTAAACGGATGTTCCAAGCTTCAAATCAATAAATACAAATGTTAATACACAAATAAATCAAGCTTTATACAAATTCTACAGATGTCGTACTACAAACAAAGGAATTGGTTTAGGAATAGCTTTATATGAATGAATGAATGAATGGATGAATATTATGGATGAATGAATGGTAAATTATATAATATTATAATATCTTGCACTGCACTAAAATTCGCATGTCAAATAATGACAAAGCATACACGCTGCTTTTAACTTATGTAATAACTCATTTTTACTATGCTTGGCGAATAAATGATTTCTTTCTTTCTTTCTTTCTTTCTTTCTATAAATGGTTCCTGAATCAGTCAAACTTTTTTGTGTTACTTGCTAACAGAGATAACACAAAAAAGTTACATATGCGCCACTTTTAAATTGTACTGTTTGTGTAGTTGACGTTGGCTGGAGTTGTGTAAAAACAATAATATATAGGAGACGAAAAATAAATTAATAGTTAGCGTTTATTTTATTTCAGTTCCAATGTGGGCCTGGAACCATCTACGACATAGACTCGGAGGTATGTAACCACCCGCGTAGTACAAAACGGTCCGAGTGTGGTGGCCTTAATGTGCCATCAATCGAAGAAAATGATAATGGAATCGAAAATTACAACCAAGAAGTTCCTAAGCCTATAAGTACCAAGTTTCCTGTTTACTTTACTACGAGTACAACAGTAAAAACTTCAACGATTTCCTTAACTACGCCTAGTTCTAAGCCAAACACAGATTCACTAAATCTAGATACTGCGAATGAAATCACGAAATTTCACGAAAGCGTTGTCTCTACAGTTCCGATGACCTCTACAACAAAGTATTATGAGCATAAAAATAATGCTATTGTTGATTATTCGTCATCATCACCAACAAAACTCGAAGCAGTAACTGCCTCGCAAGGACTAAAATCGCAGAGCAACATTTGTATTTCTGAAGGTTTTATGGGTGACAGTGAAAATTGTCACAAATTTTATAGATGTGTTGGCAATCAAAGAGGTGGTTTCATGAAATTTGAATTTTCGTGTAGTGCATTGACTGTGTGGGATGATGAAATACAAGCATGTAATCATCCTTGGGCTGTAAAGACAAGTAGATGCAGCAGAAGCAGTTCAGATTCCAGTAGCGTCCAAATAAAGCCAGCAATAAAAGATTCCCATATAGGAACCATGCAAACGACTACAAGCAGTTTCACAGAAAATGGCACAATTAATAGTAGTCAAGTAATTCACGCTCCACATTTGTCACAAGCTCCTGTGAAAATAAATGACGATGAACTAAAACAAAATGCAAATAATAAAATAGAACAGAATCACTCACACATAAACTATGGGGAAGTAGAAAGCCATATTCCAACCAAAATTGACAAAGATATAGCACTTTTTCAAAACCAGACAGATAAATTTAAGCAGCCGAGCCAAAAAGAAGAAGTAAATAAGACAGGTACAAATGTACCAACAGCTCAGACAGAATCTAACCCAAAAATAAATAATTTATGTGTTCAAACCGGTTTTCTCGGAGACCCTTACGACTGCAAAAAATTTTATAGATGTGTTGATACTGGAAAAGGAAATTTTATAAAATATGAATTTTCATGTGGTGAAAGTACGGTATGGGATCCAAAATTAGAAGCTTGTAATCACGCCTGGGCAGTTCCGAAATGTGGTGGAAATTTTATGTCTACTACTGAAGTTGACGTAGTGGAATCAGCACTTAACGCGTCTAACTCTTTCACACCGTCAGCACCTGTCATCCAAACAACTATAGAAATTGACGCTGAAGAAGAAGACATCGGGTATGGAAATATTCATTCTTCAGTAAAAACGACGACTCCCAGAACGACCACTATCGATAGTAGCCCTCAAATTTCACCATTGAACGATTGTAAGTCAAGTGGCTTCAAAGGTGACTCAAAAGATTGTAGTATATTTTATAGGTGTGTCGAAGATGCTAATGGAAGATATACAAAATATGAATTTAAATGTGGGGAAGGTACAGTCTGGGATTCTAATCTAGAAGCTTGTAATCATGCTTGGGCAGTAAAAAAATGTGGAGAGAATGAATTATCTATTGAAAACATATCAACAACCACTGAAACTACAACTATTAGCAAAAATCCAACATCACCTAGTCAAACTATAATGAATAGTAAAAATCCAATAACGACATTAAACGGTAATCTAACTACCACTACTACTACTGAAATATATCAACCTGATCAAGAAGACTCTGGTTATATTGGTCATATTGAAGAAATCACATCCTCAACAACAAAACTACCCGATTCTTCGATAAACGGAAGCAGTGAATGTAAATCAAATGGCTTTCTTGGAGATAAAAATAACTGTAAAATTTTTTACAGGTGTGTAAGTAACGGTGATGGTTCGTTTAATAAATACGAATTTACATGTGGCGAAGGAACAGTTTGGGATAGTAAAATTGAAGCATGTAATCATGCATGGGCAGTGGAAAGTTGCGGTGGTATTAGTGTATCAAGTTCTAGTGAAAATTTTGATTTAGTTTCCACAATTTCTCCTCAATTGACGACTACAAACAAAGCCGAAAATTCCAACATTGAATCTACAGGCGACACGGCGACGACGACACTAGTATCAGTATCATTTTCTACTACAACTACAGAAACCGCTGCTTTGACAACAAATACATGTAAAAGCACTGGCTTCATAGGGGATCAAAAAGATTGTAAGAAATTCTATAGATGTGTTGACAATGGAGATGGAACTTTTACACGTTTTGAATTTAATTGTGGGGAAGGAACTGTTTGGGATAGTAAAATTGGTAATTGTAATCATGCTTGGGCTGTAGAAAAATGTGGAGAGTATGGCGAAGATGAAAATTCTAACGCAGCCAATACTTCTGATGGTAAACCAATTTTCGCAGATGAATATGACAACGGAGTTGCAACAACAAGTAAAACGACTAATAATGAAAAACCAGATTTTATTCAAACAACAGTATTAAGTCCAATTGTAAACACAATTTGTAAGCAGAGTGGATTTATTGTTGACAAAAATGACTGTCAGAAATTTTATAGGTGTGTTGATGATGGAAAGGGTGGATTTATACAGTTCGATTACCGATGTGGGGAGGGTACCGTTTGGGATTCTAGTATTGAAGCTTGTAATCATGTATGGGCTGCGCAAGAGTGCAGATTTGATAATGTTACAAGTGAAACGATTGATAGTTCAACACATGAGTCGCCACCTACCTCTTCCGTTCAAGAATCACTAAATTCCACATTACCTTCAGTAATTAATACCGTCGCAACATCTACAGAAAAGGCCGTAAGCGATTACTGCACGCAAGATGGTTTTATCGGTGACAAAAGAGATTGTAAAACGTTTTATCGTTGCGTTCACAATAGTCATGGTGATTTCATAAAATATGAATTTCGCTGTGGAGAAGGGACTTTTTGGAACCAAGAAATACAAGCTTGTGACCATGTTTCAGAAAATAAGAGATGCTACAGTCCTGATCATGAAATCGTTGATACTAGACCTCCAATCGAAAATGATGAAATTTATACAGAAGCGATGACCGAAATCATAAGTACATCGCATTCACCAATTGTGACGCAAAAACCTGTGATCTCTGAGGATACTTGTCAAAATGAAGGATTTTTTGGGGATTCTAGTGATTGTCAAAAATTTTATAGGTGTGTGGAAGATTCAAAAAATGGATACACAAAATATGAATTCGTTTGTGGCGCTGGTACAATTTGGAATCAAGATATTATAGCTTGTGACCATCCAACTTCAGAGAATAAATGCTTAAGTGAAAATATCAATTCTAATCCTAACCAAACGAATGAATCAAATGTAGATGGAGAATCTTCAGATATTACAAGCACGCTTAAGCCGCATTCTACTCGAGAACCAGAAAATTCAACGACTGCAGACACTGACGAATGCATTTCTGAAGGATTTTATGCAAACTCGCATGATTGTAAGAAATTTTTCCGTTGCGTCATAAACGACAAAGGAACGTTTACCAAATACGATTTTATTTGTGGTATTGGTACAATATGGGTTCAAGAGATACAAGCATGTGATCATAATAATGGAATCGAGACTTGCACTTCGATAAATATACCAGAAACTTCTACAGTTACATACGCTTCAACTACAAGCCAATCGAGCTCAAATACCACTCCATTATTGTCAACACCCATAAAAAATGATAATGACTACTACACCAGTACTAAGAAACCCACTACAGAAGTATGTGAAGCAGAGGGATTCTTCGGAAATGATAATGATTGCAAGAAATTCTATCGCTGTGTAGATAATGGTCAAGGTGGCTATACAAAACACGAGTTCAGTTGTGGTGAAGGGACCGCTTGGGATACCACTATTGAAAGTTGCAATCACATAGACAACGTTAAAAATTGTCATTTTTCACACCAAGAAGAAAGTCAAACACAGCCGATATTATTCGACGAAATGCCATCCACTGAAAATGAACAGGGCACAACAAGAGTTCCATCTTCTTCACAATCTACTGAGAGCAGTATTTCGGATGATAAAGCTAACTGTGAAAGTGAAGGCTACTTTGGCGACACTAAGGATTGTAAAATATTTTATAGATGTGTAGATAATGGAAAAAACGGATTTACCAAATATGAATTTACTTGTGGAGAAGGTACAATCTGGGATCAAGACTTAACTACATGTAATCATCCACAAGACGTATTAAAACCTTCCTGTGGTCACACTAGTGAACAGATTTCTACATCATCTACAATGAGTTCTTCGTCATCAGACTCTCCTTCAGCAACCAGTANAATATTTTATAGATGTGTAGATAATGGAAAAAACGGATTTACCAAATATGAATTTACTTGTGGAGAAGGTACAATCTGGGATCAAGACTTAACTACATGTAATCATCCACAAGACGTATTAAAACCTTCCTGTGGTCACACTAGTGAACAGATTTCTACATCATCTACAATGAGTTCTTCGTCATCAGACTCTCCTTCAGCAACCAGTACTTTATCAACAACCGCAAGTACGACAGAAATCAGTAATAGTACCTCAACCAACTCTTCCCAACAAAGTTCGAATAAACCAAACCAGAATATCACTTGTCCTAAAGAAGGTTTTTATCCGAATCCTAACGATTGCAAGAAATTTTATAGATGTGTTGATTGGGATAGTAATGGTCAAAGATTTTCAGTGTATCATTTTGAATGTGCAGATGGAACTATTTGGGATCCTGCACTTAATACTTGTAATCATGAAGAATCAGTTTATCCTCCTAGAGACTGCAGTAATACACAATCAGAAAGCCAAATCACAGGACAAGAAACTACTACAGAAGAACAACTGCAAGAATCATCTACACAGACAACTAGTGAAATGACAACTGCAACTAAAGAAGAGGCGTCTACTCAACAAACATCAACGACTCAAAAAACCACAACAACGGAAGAAACTACCATGAGTGAAGAGCCTACAACACGACAAACAACCCCACTAGATACAAGTACTGAATCGACACATACTACAATGCATAGTACAACTCAACAACACTCTACTGAAGAAATTTCAACATCACAAACGCCTGCACAAAGCACTACGCAACAAACAACAACTCAAACACAAACAAGTACACAAATTACTGTGCAACAAACAACAACATCTGAACCCAGTACAACTCAGCAACAAACAAGTTCACAAACCACTACAGATCAAACAATGGAAAATTCTACTAGTGATCAAGCAACATCAAGCACTAATACGGCCACAACACAACCAACAACAAGTGAATATTCCAGTACTGAGATATCAACTACTTCAGAGACGGCTATAACAGAGCAATCTACAAATCAAGCAACCAATTCAACTCAAATGACAACTACTCTCACTGATGTCTCAACTACTACAGATCCAACCCTATCTACTACAACAGAAACAGCCAGTATAACAGAAGTCAGTCAAGAATTAACAACTACTGAAGAAAATTCATCTACGACCAGTGAAGGACCCACAGAAGTTTCTACTCAAGAAATTGGCACTGAATCTTCTACCACCAATATGGAAACTTCCACTGAAGGAAATACTGATGGCAACTGCCCTAATACGGAAGATGATCAGCATTTGTTTGTATGTCCTACGTCGTTCAGAAGACATCCAAAGTATTGTAATATATTCTATCAATGTACAGAAGATGATGAAACACACGAAATTAAAATAGCTACTTTCAACTGTCCGAATAATACTATATATGATGAAAGTCAAACTAAATGTGTTGAACAAGATAAAACGAATATTGAGTGCGATGGTGAAATATCATCAAGGCGAAGACTGAAACATTTATCATTAAATTACAAAGATCCTGTAAGTATTTTTTCAAGTACTTAATAAACTAGCTTTTATTATTGGTCAATCTGTTGAATAAAAATTTGTGTATTTCATAGTTATCTCTCAATAAAGTTTTAATAAAAAAAAAGATGTATGGTGTCGTGGCACACCGGATGGGAACGAAGTCCCTTATTATAAAAATATTAATTTTAAGTTCTATTTGAGGTATAAAGAAAATACAACTGGAGGTTTCGCAACAACCCACGGTCATTCGGTAACGTGCGAACTTATTGTGGTACACTTCATTCACGGCTGTTTGCATAAGAGTTAGTGTATTGCGCATTGAGATCGTGGTCAATGAATGATAAAAAAATATGTTATGTACGTTATTACAAAGTTAGTCGTACATTGTGTGCATTACTAATAAAAATCATACGTTACGGACGATTTTTCTCGGTTAGGGTACACCTCCGCATCGTCCCATAAGGAACTTCGTTCCAAAAATATACTGCTTTGTCTATTGTGACATGGATAGTCAATAAACTATTAGTCAATATTAGTCAATAAACTATTTTTATCACTAGCATATCTATCAGTTCTTATGTTATAAAAATGTTGCTGTTTCCCGTTATAATACGGACCGACTATCTGGGTATCGGAATCTCATCATCATCTTCATTCGTTCCTAGGATTAGTGTTAGCATCACTCCGGTTTGAGCCCCGTGAGCTCACCTACACGTTAGGGCGAAGCTGAAATAGCCTCTCAAGGCTATCAGCGTAGGTAGTAAAAAAAAAGTTAACACCGTTCTGCCTATTTCTAGAGCAGAACGATAATGCATTGTATTTTAAAAGCTAAGTCGTCGTGTTCAAATCCCGCAGACAGGCGGTCATTTTTTTAATAATGAATTACGTACGTAATTCATATTTTATAAACGACTTAATGATAAATGAAATATCGTATAATAACAGTCGATTAACAAATTTTTTAAAAGTGCATAGTTTCTGGTGGTAGAATGAATTATAAGCCCATTTTGGTTCGTACCACCATCTTGCTTATTTCTGCTGCGAGGCAGTCATACCTTCTGATTTGCTGCTATTTTCCTAGTTAAGGCTTCTCCAAGCATTTAAGTTTTAGTTCTTGATATAATTTTGTTTTATTCGTTATTGCAGATAATAGTTACGAGGGATAGTCAATCATGTTCATCCGAAGGCCACATGCCCTTTGAAAAGAACAGTGAGTGTTCTCCGGCATTTTTGAAATGCGAAAAATCGAAAAATGGCAGATTACGGGGTATAGTACACCAATGTCCTCAAAATTACGTGTACTGGTCCATAAGCAGGCGATGCGAGCGAGTCGAGAGAGTTAGGGACTGCAAAAGGACTACTAACAACTGGAATGGTAGATGGGAAATACCAATAGACAGACATAATGTAGCTTGGTAATGTGACAGCGGACATTAAGAAATATCGAAAAGACTTCGATTTTAAAGTATGTGATAATATACTTCATTAATAGTGTAAAAAGTGTAGAATAGTCTTATCTAATAAGGATTTTAAGTCACTAACCGTTTATCGTTAGGCTTATAAACAAAATTATTGCACAAACTTATTAGATATCCACTAAAATTTTCAATTATAATAAGTAACAGTTCCAAAAATGATAGAGTTGACTCTATTTTTTCTAGTCTCAATTGATGTTGAAACATAACCAATACATACATATGTGGTTGCGCGAACTATTATGTTCTATTAATAATTATGCAAAACGCGATAGTTTTAAACAGAACTTGTGAACAAAATATTGTTAAGTTTTTTTGAACACATTATTTTGATCACGACTTAAATTTATAGAAATAAATTATTAATCAACGATATGCTTGTTTTATTTAGTTTTAACATATAACTTATTTCTTTTAGTATACGAAATAATAAAATGTCGACAAAGAAACTGACAGCATATATGAGCAGTGCTTTATAAATTTTATGCTGTAACAAGAGCCGTTTAGACACAGATTTACACTATTTAAATTAGTATTACATCAATACCTATACATGACATTAAAACATCATTGCAAAATAATGATAGTTCTGTTGTTATAAATTCCGTGATACTTTGGTCACCTTTGTAATTTAATACATCATTAAAAAGAGTCCCTATAAATGCATGACAAGCTGTGTTACTTGCAATGATATTACCTTTTAAATCAATTGTTAGCCTATATGATGCGCTGTCAATTGGCTTAGCTAAATCATTTCTCTTTATATCTTCTGAATCTCTGTTTTTAAGATCTGTTTTAGGAAATATAGGATGACCATTTGTAACTGTTTCCTTTGATTCGATAAAATTGTCTTGTTCAAAGTTTTTAGGGTTTGACGGTATTTCATGTTCTCGTGTCACTGAGGTCAACTGCGGGTTAGGCTTACGATGAAACAAAAAATCTAGAAACATCGGCAATAAACTCACTGTTGTTGAAGTTACATTTTCATCAATCTGATGTTCTTTAATTAATTCACGATTGTTATTAAGCCGTCTATTTTCAATTATTGAATTCGGTGTAGTTTTTGATGATTTATCTGATAGGCTATCTCCTAGTGTTGTAATTGCGAATGATTTATCCTTTAGTAACATCTGCTCTGTTACTAATAAAGTGTTTTGTTCGTTACGATCTAAAATTATGTCAGTTTTGCTTTCTGTTTCAGCTAATGGCTCTTCCGATAATTTGTTTTGTTGCTCATTCGTTTCTAAAGCATCGATTATATCTCGTATGTTATTTAATTTTTTATGTGCTTTATATCGATGTGAATCATCATTAGTATTGTGTTTTATGGAATTTATTGTTTCAAAGTCATCTTTTTCATATTTCGACAAAACATCTTGCAATTTATTTATGTAAACTGTAGAAGGTGATTTAGGAGTTAATACATTAGGATTAAAAGCTATTCCTCCCTTATCCCAAATAGAAAGAGCGCGTACCATAAATTTAATGAAATCTTCCGGCAGCTCTCTCCAAAATTTCGTTAAAGCAGAGTCATCTAAACACCTACTTAAACTAATGTATTCTATTCGAATTTTTACGTTTCCATAATTTTTTTCATTGGAATAAACTTTTTCCGTCCACAGTGTATTCATGGCGATTTCATTATTTTCTTCACCTATAATATGGTAGTTTGATAATTTGGTATCGTTTAAAACAACTATAAGTCGGTATACATAAGATGGATGTTTCTCAGATAGCAATTTAATATACGGTATGTATTCGTCGAAATCGATTTCTTTATCTTTCTCTATGAATACGTGCATCCATACTGTTTTTGCAGTGTTTGGCTTATTAGTTTTATACAAGCCTGTATCGAAAATTTGATTCGTCACTGGTTTCAATTGCGCCTCTGGCATTAATGTTAAAATAAAAAAGCTATTGTATATTATAAATGTAGTAATGGTTATCATTCCAAGTCCAATCCACCAATACGCTACAAATCTGGTCCAGTGATCTGAAAACAATGTTGTGCATATTTTTAAACATTAAAATAAATTGAAATTAATTTAAAAACGTTATTGCTGGTGTAATTTGTATAATTACAATAACGTTTATATTTGAATATTTGGTGAGCATCTAAACAAACAAAATTGGAAATGGAATATGAATTTCACATCGTTATAAGAAAACATGTTTATTAATAAGGGATATAGCGACACGATGACTTTATGCAAATTTTGTTTACCAAAATTAAAAGTAAACGTATAATACCTACTAAAACACTTGCATGCACACTTAAAGTCTCTAAATATTACGGTCCAATAGATAACATTCATGCTAGTGCTGTAGTTATAACTATACTGAGACCTTAGAACTTATATCTCAAGGTGGGTGGCGCATTTACACTGTAGATGTCTATGGGTTCCGGTAACCACTTAACACCAGGTGGGCTGTGAGCTCGTCCAGCCATATAGGCAATAAAAAAAATAATCGTGACTCACTAGCACGTAAAGCCATTATAAAGTTGACAGAATTATTGAACGTAATTAAACCGACACAATCTTATGTTTACTCATACTTTAAACATACGCATCTCGTAATATAAAATTTTGAATAATTTACTTAAATAAGTATGATAGTTGATTAAATTACCTGGCCAATGTTTAATAATAGCAGCGGCTCCTTTCAGATTTACTTTGATACGATTTCTGTTCGAAAAGGAACGGCGTCGGTAATGACGTGGAATCGACTGATCTTCCTCAGAGAGTTCGTCATGCAGCAAAGGATAATGCTCACGGTATTCAGACATCACTATCCATAAGACTCACTGTTAAGAAACGAGTATATTCATAATTGTTGATGATCTGCTTGATGATTATTAAATATAAATAAATTTACTAGGCTGTACAAACATTTCCCAAAGCTATTAATGTGAGATGTCATCAACGGAACGTCAATAATTTTTAAGCTGAGATATTAAACTCATTTGATTTTAGCTATATACTTCTTGTTTAGTAAAGCTTACACAAATTTAGAAAAAAATATATAGTTACATTGTCCATTGCTTCTGCAATCCAATCATGATTTCGGATTAGATAGGTCAACATTTTATTCTAATGCAATTGAAACTTGCACCTCGTTTTTCTTGGCCGGGTTATATGGTTACGCGTTGTGGTGTTTATGAACTCTGGTGGCGACTTAACACCAGGACAGCCCTAAGTTTGTCTGTTCATATACAATAAAAAGTTTGTCATGCAACCAAAATAATTGACTTACCATAATTCAATAAAGCATAATTTACGAAAACAAACCACTGAAACCGGCAATGTATATTTTACAACTATATTATTTATTAACGTTTTAAATGAAATATTATTTTATAGATGATAAATTTTCTACAATTGCCGCGTACGATGCACGATGTGCGACTGCATATACGCGATAAGTATAGCATCAATAAAGTAAATTGTACGCAAATTTTCAAATGTTTAAAAATTTAATTTTTCCGCTTTGAATAGAATTACTGTTGTATCAACATTATTTGATGGCACGTACGGACGTGATGTCGGATTTGTTATTACTTAAATGTTGTTTAAGCGTTATTAGAATGGCAAAATGAGTCATTTTCATTACATTTTCGTGGTATTTTTTATAAAGTTACGCAATACCAGTACATTAATTTTAAAGAATTATAATGTTCGTGTCAATGCGGTATAGTATAAGCGAAATCGAAGTCCAATTTTTTTAAGTATATATTGATATCTTTTACGTAAGCATTACGTATCTGTAAATACTTTTTCACTTTTAAAGAATGTTCTGCTGCGAATTCTTTTATGGATTATCACACCTAAGGGAAGAAGGGATACAGTGGTTTGGTGATTCTAGGCCTAAAAACAACCACAAAAAAATTTTAATGTTGTACCTAACATTTGCCATAATTTTAGTGCGCTATTCTTCTAAAATTGAAAAAAATCAAACGAAGAAAACGTTTATTTTTTTCTTGTCTGTTTAATTTTTGAATGTATGAATTAATAAAATGTTTCCAGATATTACAAATAATCTAGAATGCATCTTTTTAACAAAAAGTACGTTCTTTGAAAAAAAAGTTATAGTGACAAAAGTTCTAAATTGGAATACGTTCAAAATTTTTGGCGAATGTCAACATGGCGTAAATTATTAATTAAATACCTATGGTGCTTGATTTTTGATTTTGAATAACCATATTAAAGGATTCTACAGAAGGAAATAAAACTTTATCAGGTAACAAATAAGGTGTATCATAATTTAAGTGTCAATTAATATTAGAAATAGTGAAAGTCCTCATTTGTTGCACACATTGCCAAATACGTTCATAAGTATTTCTATAAAAATTCAAAATAATATGATTATTATTATTGTTTCATATTATGTTTTAGCTATTTTCGTATTCAGGATGGTGGATCACGATCCAGGCCTTAAACAGGAGGAAAACTATCCTCTTTTAAAGGTGGATGCGGGAGGAGGTGATTCTTGTGTGGGTCCTCAAGCGCCGCTTACTACGGTATCTCCAGGATGGACCATTGCTTCTGGGAGAAAACATTCTTGGCTTAATCGGTGGCCCGGTTAGTTATAATGGAATAATACAAACACAACTTTGAGTCTTTCCGCAATTTTTTTTAAATATAGGCAATAATATTATAACTACTCCAATTAAAGTATTCGTCCAAGCTCGCTCTTAATACGTAAGTTTTAACATTAACATTAACGTTAGTTTAATATAAGTGACTTAATTTAGTATTGTAATAATACAACCAAGATTAAATGTGTTTAAAATTTTAAATTTATCAGCTATAAATACTAGTTTATTATATAATATATTACTAGCTGATCCGGCAGACTTCGTAGTGCCTCAATCGATAAATAAAAGACCTAAACTTTTGTATAAAATAAACTTAGAACAAACAAAAGGAATCCGTCCGATGGGGGACACATAAAAGGGAAAACAAAATTGTTATTTTTATTTAATTCCGAGCATTTTCATATTTATTTACCTTTTCAACATTCTTTGGACTTCCACAATTCAAGACCAAAATTAGCCAAATCGGTCCAGCCGTGCTCGAGTCTCGAACAGCAATTCATTTTTATATACATATATAGATAATATCAGTTTAATGTCAATAATTATAAAATATCGTTTCAGAATTATTCTCGGCCTGTTGGATGACGTTTATTTTATTGGGAATATCTCTTCTGGTATTTTACGCTATTGGTATTAGCGTTTACAGACACCAGGGTCTTATATTTGTAAATTGCAACGACACCAGACCATATAGTCAAGTTTTTTATCATCAAATAGTCTCAGCAGAAACATATTTTCCATTCAGCTCGTACTATGGATATCTATCGAACATGGTTACGCAATACCCTGATCTACGTTTGAATTGGTTCTTCCTGATCGACGATTCACAGCAGTATACCTTCAATAAATTAGTTCAAACGAGAAAAACGAATGTCTTTGAGAAAAACAACAGGAGATCCATTCAAGATTTTAGACTGAAATACAAAAGTGTAAATCTTACTATCATGCTCTTAAGTAAGTTTATGGCGACGACTCCAATGAGGTTCAATTGGAGAACTATTCCGGTATCGTATTTGAGTTTTTACGTAAGGACCTTCTCGGTCTGGCGCAACGGTGGCATAGGGATGGATTTATCTATATTCAATGCACGATTTAACAGTCGATCCGAAGATAATAGAATCAAAGCAATATTGAAACAGCACAATGACGGTATACAACCTGAAATTTATTCCAACGCACTCAGCACTATAGACTCCCAAGAGGAAACTGAGTTTTTCGCGTTAATTAACCAGTTTTTAAACGAAATTCGATCCCTTCTTAATAAAACTATGTTCTTTTCTACGACATCCGAAAAGAGGCATAATTTTAACGAGCCACGCAAAGGTAAACGTGAAGTAAAGGACTTGTTTCGTATTAAAAGTTTTGATGAAAACTGTACTGCTCACCGCCATTTGTCAAACTCATCCAATAACAAAGGAGCAGCAGCAAGCGAGAGCAAATTAAATAGCAGCGTATCCCATACATTAAGGACAGTCGGCGATGTGTTAACGTTTTCTAATTCAAGCTCTAATAATACTCCATCGCAAAGGGATATAAGAAATATATTCCCTGATAAGATGAATGCGACATCAGAAATGAAACGGGTAACGAATAATAGTTCAGAATCTCCTTCGGTAATGTTTTTCTATGAATTTTCATTTTTGAGTGACGGAATGGAGCCGGTTTATGTGTTGCCTGATTTCGAAAAGAATTTAGGAGGCTTAAACACACAAGCAACATTAAAGAAAAACACGAGAGAGAATCGGATTGCCCCTCAACTTTTGGCCATAGATTCGGAAGGTGTTTTTGTAGCGGCTTCTGCTCGTTTGCATCCATTATTGGGATATTTAATTGGCAATGGCTGTCACCATTTGCACCCCAAGTTTGCCATTCAAAATGCTTTATCTACTCATTGCTCACGATATTTTCGAAATGATTTATACTGCGATAATATTTTTTTGTTGTGAAAATACTCCGTAAACGTTTATTTTGATTAAATAAATTTGTGTTTTTACTGTTACAATTTATTAACAATTAACAAAAAAGATGAGTGAACGAGCTCACTCTAGTGGTTACCAGTGCACATAGACATCACAATGTGAATATCGCCACCCAAGTTCATATCTCAGTTGTATGAATAAAAAAGGAAATTTTCATCGTAAAGGGTGTCTATTAGATTATTAATACAAGTTATATGCAACATTCACAATAATTGCGTCGTTCAACTAAATGTTGACACGTATGTACCTACGTGGTATGTAGACATTGACAAAACGGTATTTTGAAAAGAAAAAAGAACATTCAATGAACTCAATGAGTGTACTTCAAAAGTATAATAGGTTTTTTATTTTATTTTAATTCTATTACTTTAATTATTATAAAGTTAATTTTATTCTATTCATAGTTTTCACTTAATGACTAATTATAAACTGATTACTTTTTGACTATTTATGTACGACAAATTGTATTAGCTACTGTTGGTTGTGCCTAATAAATTAATAAAGTCCAATTATCTATGGATTCATGAAGTCATCTGTCATTTTATAGACAAGCAATACAAAAACATTAAATTATTGTTAATGTATTCGCCAGTGCTCATAATGTTATTGAACTATGGCGTGGCGGTTAAAAAGATCAACTTGAAATGAAATTGCCATTTAATATAGTTTTGACTCCAATTTTGAAACCGTATTTGGGAAATATAAAGTCGTATTGTCAACAATATACATTTGTAATTAGTTACTATTATACTTGCTTCTACGGGACTGTCGGTTTAGTATGTCATTCAATATTCAGATATGATACCCATTCAATACTCAGACGACCCTACGGTCCGGACGGTCTTAGGCTGTAATTGCAATCCATAGACATCTTATGAAATATCTCCTAGTCTAAATTGCATTGCAGTAGCGGTGATATATTATAACCGTCAAATGGTAACGTGTGCTTGCTTTACTGGGTTATACCAACTTACTACTGGCTAGGTAGTATTACATTCATACCGTCCTATTTCATTCTTTATGGTTTATACTTCAGATAGAAGTAACTAAATTAGGAATAAGCACCCGTGGTCTACGATTCTTTGAGCGCCTGCTAATAGGCAGTAGCAGTGGTTATGCTAAGGTCGCTTGTGTTAGATCTTCTCACTTGGACTGTAATTGTCTATTTTCTGTTAGTATGTATGTAGGATCGTTTGGAACCTCGGGGTCTGCGGAGGGACTTCGGTTCCCTCTGTATTCTGTACCGTATGTTCCATGCTCTGAGGAAATGTTCGAGATGATACCATCGTCTCGTTTTTACCATCGCACCGCCCGCCACCGGAGTAGAGTTCATCCATACTATCTGGAGCCACTACGTTTATCCACAGTGCGCTTCCATAGATCTTTTTTGCCACATACCATCCGGCTTTGAAATGAGCTCTCCTTATCGGTGTTTTCCGAGCGCTATGACATGTCCTTCTTCAAGCGAGGCTTGTGGAGAGTATTAAATGGTAGGCAGCGGCTTGGCTCTGCCCCTGGCATTGCTGACGTCCCTGAGCGACGGTAACCACTCACCATCAGGTGGGCCGTAAGCTCGTCTGCCTTTAATGGCAATAAAAAAAATGCATGTATATAATTTTGAGAGAGTTAATAAAGTTTCAAAGGTCGATCAAAAAAACCAAACTCAAAGATAAATCCGAATGGTAATTTTATTGTTTCAGGTGTAATTACATTCTTTCAGAAGTTTTTATCGTTTGAAAATCGTCAACTTGAATATTGTTTCAGTTTATTAGTATTCATCACCTAAAAACACATTTAGGAGAACAGCCGATGGCGTCGACGGAGAATATTTACAATTTCATGATCATTCACGATTTGAAGATCATAGCGACCTCAATGGGCTTCATACAATATGTTTGTCTGCTTATAGGATGTTTAACAGTAAGTATGATTATATAGTAACAGTAGCGTATTATCTATTAATATTTCCCCAATGATTCAGAAATATGACGTATTTTTATGTGTAGCTACTTAACATAATTCCTTACAAACTTATTCTGAAAAATATTACCAAAAATAAATTTATTTTGGGAGAACGACAAAGGAAAGATCTTCCACCGAGCGAATGCTCAGTAGACCGACGTCGTCCACATGTCGTTGCTTGGAACTTGTATATTCAAACTCAAGTTGAATTTATTGGAGCTATGGGTGCAGGAGAATCATGACAAATCGTCGGTCATTTTGGCGACCCTTGAGGAAAGCCTACGTCCAGCAGTGGGCTGATGATGATGCTGATTACAAGAATTGAAATTTTGAGATACAGGAACAAGAAAGAAATAATAGTGTTTTTTTTTAAATCACTACGACACTAGAAAACCTTCCGAAAAAGTACCAGAATAAACATTGTCAAATCATATTTTTAAAATAACAAAGTCGATTTTTTTTAGAATAAAACAAGAAAATCTTCTCATTTTCAGGAGAACCCAGCATTATTTCTACCACATTTATTCGGGCAGCTTGTCGTAATATTCATTAAAATAGTGAACGCTTTTTTTTCACTAACAAGAACAAATTCGAAGTCATTACGAGGGCTTCTGCACAAAGCACTTAGTATTTTGATAATGACTTTCAATTGGATGCAGGAATTTTGCGTTTTTAGATTGTTTCTGTGTGTTTGTGATTTGTGAAATTATTTGCTTTTGATTAAAATATAGTTTTGTTTAAAGAAAATGGAAAATAGTGTCTGCTTTGTTTTATTTTTTATATGTTTACACTTTATTGGAAATAAATATATTTTTCGTATGTAGCTTAGGTCAATCAATTAGTGTTTTAGCGAAATAGGTCTTCTTTTTAAGTTGAGTGTTATTAAAAAAAATATGTCAACTGCCATTTGAGTCATATTTATAGTTGGGCACCCGTCTCTTCTGATCCGCGCAAAACAGATTTACGATGGTTTAAAAAGCTATATTAGAAAATGTATACAGTTTTTTGACACTGATGCTGTGCACCGCGCAGTGTATCTATCAATAGCGCCGATTAATAAAAACCAATCCTTTGTCGTATTACCTTAATAGCAAAATGAACAGTGACAGTAATTTCATTTTGAATCAGATTCGTCAGAGACACGAAAATCATGTAGATACCGTAAGTCGAATTTATCTAAGTACATATGGATTATGGTAAGGATAATTATTAATGTGATTGAATTGAAATTTATTATTAGTAGCAAAGATAAAAGACGGGGGAACTTATATGTTATATACACACTATATACACTTATGTGGAATAAATTGCTTCAGAAAAAATACTTCAGGGAATGTGAGTCGTTTCTTTTTTAGACAGTATGAATGAAGTAATGGTAAGCTGGAGTGGTAGGTATCCCGTAACATTCCCCCAGGGAATGCTGTAGGCTGTAGGTACAATGTACAGAGGCCCAAGTACCAAAGATCCTACCACCTAGGACACTGGGATTTGGTATAATTCGAGTGGCATATCGTTATCTCGAAATTGAATATAAAAAAATTAAGAGAGGAGACTTTCCATTACTTTTTTTTTAAATTAAAAACCCTTTACTTAGTCTTGATAATGTTTTGATTAATTCATTAAATCAAGGCTGAAACAAGCACCTTTACTACATATACGATCATTCTTACTGGTGGTAGGACTTCTTGTGAGTCCGCACAGGCCGGTGGGGCAGCCGTTGTAGCTGAGACCTTAGAACTTATATCTCAAGGTGAGCGGCGCATTTACGTTGTAGATGTCTATGGGCTCCAGTAACCACTTAAAACCAGGTGGGCTGTGAGCTCACCCACCCATCTAAGCAATATTTTTTTTTATCAGAATTTTACATAGATTAGTGTTCGTGTACATAAACAAGAATACGAGAATGCCATAGCGTAAAGTATTAAAACAGGATATTGGTCTAACTATATAATATACAATAAACACGTGACCTATTTTGTTGATTTGTTAGATAAACGCGGTCGGTGAGAATTCGCATGCCGCTCAAATCAAGATGCGTGCTCTTCTGGTAGCCCTGCTGGGAGTTTCTATGTCGGCGTGCGCTTTTGCCTCGCAGCCAGTCGAGTTAGAGTTGGACGACGATGACGTCACGCAAAAATTGAGTAACGTCAGTTTCGCTAGAAGGTGAATTCAAATTTTGTCTCTTTCTCCCATTTTTTTATTATCATATTATACTTTTTTTTTTATTGCTCAGATTGGTGGACGATCTCACAGCCCACCTGATGTTAAGTGGTTACTGGAGCCCATAGACATCTACAACGTAAATGCGCCACCCACCTCGAGATATAAGTTCTAAGGTCTCAGTATAGTTACAACGGCTACCCCACCCTTCGAACCGAAACGCATTACTGCTTCACGGCGGAAACAGGTGGGGTGGTGGTACCTACCCGTGCGGACTCCCAAGAGGTCCTACCACCATTAATGATGGGCTGTGAATATTTTAGGCTACTTTATTCAAAAATATATAGATACATATTTTGTTATAGAATTACGAAGCCCACGATCCGGCTTGTTATTGGAAATGGAAAATCCAGTGCATTTCTGACGGCAGTGACATCCTTGCTTTTACTTATCGCTGTGATGTCGAAGGTAAATAAAGCAGTCGTAAAAGTAAATGAACATGAACGTTCACAGCACAGAATCCAAGGTCAAGAACTAGATTTTGTTTTTGTTTACCGAAAACGCGTGTTAAAGATCAACATGAACACACCGAAAAACACTCTAAAAACGAAATGTCTTCCACAAAAATATTGACTGACGAAAATCTTATCCGGTCCAGATCGTCAGGTTGTTTCCCGATGAACGAGGTGATCAACAACCAAATCAACGTACCTACTCACATATCCGCCACGCAATATATTTGTATATCGTATAATAATCGCAATGGTGTGCAGACACAAGTTTAAATTATATTATTTGAGTTCTGGCCATCGCGACGACGAATTATAAAAAAAAAACGAATGCGGAATTACCAACGCTATATGAATCAAGATTTTCTGACTGACTAATATGACCAGTATGTACTCGCAGAATTTATATTTTACTAGCCGTACTCGCCCGCTTCGCTGGGCATTAAAATTAACATTATTATTTATTTTCATTATTATTAGGCAGTCCAACATTCATATATAAATATTAGCCTATCCATTAAGTAGGTACATGTATTTTCTAGATGGATACCAAGTTTCAAGTCAATCGGATGCACGGTTCAGTTGTTCGGAACATCCGTAAAAACCATTGTAGATTTATATATTAATACGGTATAAAACTTGGATACGAAAATTATGTTTAATGAAATTTAGCTGTGCAAATGTGTAAACGGTATAAAAATCTCCGTGGAATTTAATTTAATTTCATAAAACTAAAAGGTAAAGTCTGCAAAAAAAGTGAAATAAAATAAAATTAAAAATGTAATTACGGTTTGATTCAGCAATCGTGGTGGCGTCGCGGTGCTCGATGGCTTGCAGCACCGGCTCTATTGGTAGTCGCTTTAGAAGCTGCTTCAGATGCGAGCGACGCGTTATTGGCTGCGGTACTACGGGGTTCCGCTGAACCAGCCAAAATTGCCCTACAGACTATTGGTGCAGGCTTACTTGTCACGGTCGAAATACTGGTTTGGTAAGGTTCCTTGAATAAAACAATTATATATTTGTCCTATCTGCTTAATTTCCTCGAATGTTGAATAACGAATATTGAAATTTAATTATTGTTTAAAGAAGACAAAAAGTTGATAATCCGTTGTTGATTCAATCCTTAAGTGACTTTTTGGCGGGAACGCGAGGAGTGAGGTTGTGCAATTTGTTTTATTTTGCCTATTTAGTATTTCTTCAGGTTTAATTGTCTAATTGTGGTTTATTAACTGTTTAGTATCTGTCAAAGTACACAAATGTGGGAAAATGAAGCAAAGCCGCTGGACGTAACGTTTCGGAATCCTCCAAAAAGTCCACTGAAAAAATCTCAGTAAATGACCACAATTTTACTAAGACTACTAAGATTTTACTTCATCCCACATCATCTCATCTCATTTTATTTAAGTTCATCACAGTTGATTAATGTCTCAAATTAATCATGTTCATTTCATTTCACTACATATTATCATTTTCATAGAAATAACAATATAAATTAAAATGAGACACCACTTAAAGGTCTTAGTTACCAGGTCATAAAATCACTTAAAAAAAAAAGAATCAATCCTTAAGTTTTAGTGGCAGGAAATCGCATTGAAACACGTGGACGACGGGCTGCCCGATGGCGATAGTCTGGAATTATGCTCTGAAAATTCTTGATGCTTGATTTCGCTGGATGGGGAATAATAGAACAGGTTGCCGCTAATTACTGCAGCGGGGATGTTTCAGTTTTCATCATGTTAAAAATCAATGGAACGTTTATTTTCAAACTATTTAGTTGATAGTTTAATTTTTATGGTTTCAGGTACTTTATAGCTAAATTTTTTGAATACAGTCCACCGCCCTTAGTCGAAGACAAAGACAGAGAAACTGTAAAGGCATCGCCAGAATCACAATGAAGCTTTTTTTATTTTTTTATTATCTACATTTTTTTTTAAATAAAACAACTAATATCATTATATAAGATAGTTTATTTTTAATAGGTATATGTTACGTACTACATAAGGCCACGTTACGATTAAGCTTACATTACATGAAGGCACTGGTTATGTGTTCAAGAATAATTGTGGTTGGGAAGTCCAGTTTTATTAAAAATCAACTCCAAATTAATTCAAGACAGTCACTGTAGAAAAACCACTATCGTGGCTACAAATAGTATATTCTTTACAAAATCTATTCTTGGCTGTGGTCACATGATTCAAAATATACATTTTGACTAAATTTTGCCATAAAAACCATAAAAGTACGGTTTGCAAAACTGACGATAACAATAATATATGTTTATTACATTGTTGACATGTCATCTTCTCAAAACATTTCCTTCTAAACGAACATAATAACGTTTTACAAATGGAGGTGTGTGCAAATACTAATATACCTTTTGCAGCTTCAGAATGCTTCAGCAAATGATACAATATGAACGATTGCTAAAAGTAACATTTAAATTTATATTTTTAATATTAATACGTGAAGCAAAAACTTTGTACCCCTTTTTACGAAAATTGCGCGGACGGAGGAGTATGAAATTTCTCACGCTTATAGAGAATATTTTTTTTTCAAATAATGCATAAAAGATACTTTAATTCAATAAAGAAAACATTACACACACTACCATGTATTTGACACAACACATACATAAAAATATACTCTTGTTTACTGTCAATTGGGAAGCTTTTGTTATTGTTTAAAGTCTGTGTTCGAATTGAAAATAGATTAATATTGTTTGTCTTTAATATTATTGATCTATAGTGCAGTTTTGGCGAATACTGTGATAATATTATCGAAATGTAATAGTGTTTGACAATAGAACCATGATAATGTTTTAATTTATAATTTCAATTAATTATAGTCGAATCTCGAATACTGCGGGGCCACTAGTATTTTTAAAATCACCCAAACTTAATATACAAAATGTCTATCCATATCAAATAATATATATTTTTAGTAGCAAAAATGAAACAATACAATAATCTTTTTCCTATGTTTGTCGACCGAATTACTCTTTTATCATGTTTTGTAGTTTACAAACTTTAGTATTGCCAATTAAAAAAGGCCGGAAATTTTATTTACTATTCCCATATCAAAATGTTTGAACGAAACAGACAGAAGAGAAAACGTTATACATGGAAAGGAATTCTCAACCTTGAAGCATCAGTCCTAATGGTCGAATTTTGACCTTGAGGAGCACTATGCAGGACCAATTTAGAGTTATATTGTTTAAAACTTTTTTTAGGGCTAAGGATATTGTTTTGTCTTCTGAAAACTTCAATCTTGTCGAGTCGGCACTATGGAAGGTATAGGCTATAAGCAAGGGGCACAAATTAGCACTAACTACTATATGAAATTTAAAGTTTCAAAAAGTAGATTTTATTAATTTAAAGTTATATTCATTGGCGAAGTTTCTTAAATAAGTGATGGTACCAATTAATTGTTGAATAACCAACCAAATTGGTTATTCAAATGTCAAAATCAAACAACTTAATATATCGTCTTTTCGCATTAAAAGTGTACAATTTCCAAATACATTCGAAATTGAGTTAATATGCGGAATCATTTGGTATCACCAGTATTTTTCTCATAAATACTGTCAAAAGAGCGTAGTTTAGTTTTTTTTTTTTTTTAGTTTATCTATGTTGTGTGTCTACTATTAACAAAATTAATACATAATTTTATCTTACTTTAAAATACAGATAATGTAACTGGTAAAAAATAAAAATTAAATGTTGCAAATATGATTAATATTAAAAATATCACAATATGTCAAACCTTTAAAACACTCTCTTGCAAAATAAGTAAGTTTTGAGATTATACAGCTTCGATCAACAATAGTAACTAGATTTCGGGTCGGTGCAAAAATCCGTCTCATTAAATAACAGCGCACTTGAAATGTGAGCTCTTATTTTGTTTAGTTCACTTCAGGCACAGCCAATGTCAACCCGTCTCACAATGCCGCAGTGTATTCAAAAGTTGCAAAAAATGCCCGAAAAAGCAATTTAACGGCCGGAGTATCTTACTTTCGGTAAGTACATGAAGTATACGTTATATTTTAAGCTTTAAACTAATAAATAATATTACATTTTAAACAAAATTACCGATTTTTAATCACCGCTACAAATGTTGGCCAAGGCTCGCCAACACTTGGACAAAACTTTTGTTTATCAGAAAAGATAATTTTTAAAAATTTGTTAGCAGTACTTCAAAATTGGTTAGTTAAAATTGGTTAATTCTGCTTTTGTGTCTGTTTGTTGGATTCTCATTGGATACTTAGATTTTCTTTTTTATTTTAGCTTTCCTAGCAATCACGTGTGCAGAATGGATCTCGATTGTCGCCAGAGAAAGAAGAGATTACTTTTATAAGCCAGCTAGGAACTCCACTCATTGACACTGGACATCTTTGCCTTCCGTGTTCACGGCTACTGAAACGTGGCCGAAGCATTGTAATAAAAATATCGCGCTTAAAACCGTTTAAACGTTGTTTTATTATATGTACTAGTCGCGAAAACATAAAAATATACTATAAAAATATCTATTACACAAAACGTAACGCTAATAAAATAATAAGTAATGTATAGATACTAACAAACATAAATCCTCAAAACATAAAAAGTAAACAACTAAACTTTTACTTTTATTCATATAATAAATTATTTCACTGTTCAACGCGACTCCGTTACCTCCTGTAGTAAATAGAAATTGAAATTTCAAGAAGCAAAAATAAATAAAACAAAACGATGTTAGTTCTCAAAGCTATAACGGAAAAAGTTACTTTATTTGTTGGCGCATAAAGTTGATTTAACATTAAAGATTGTTTAACATATGCCTTTTCATTTGTAAGTGACAGGAGTAATTTATTGCTTTGTGACGAATGATTGTAAGTATTAGATAATGTTTTGGAGATTTGGAACTTTATTACTAGGTGGCATAGTTGTAATTAGTTTGAACTTAAAACTGTTTCAAAACTTTTTTCTCCGTTTGTTGTAAACCAACGTAGCTATGTATGTATGTATATTCACGCGGACAGTTTTTGCTTCGATTTTGTACGTGTCCCTTTATCTAGTTACAATTGTTGATCGAAGTTATACAGTTTTAATGCGAGAAAATGATATTATTAAGACTCACAGTGTGCATTTCCAATTAAATATATTTTAGTACATTTTTTTTAATACTTCCTAATAATATAATACATATATACGCAACTATATTGAAGGCTCAATAATCTCAAGCTATGCGTATAAGTTACATGTAACTATTTCTATTCGGTTTGTGCTAAGGTATGTATAATATATAGCATTATTAATATTATATACCTTATTGTATTATTAATACAATGTATTAAAATTTTAATACAGTAATCTCCTCTATAACACGGTAGATTGGTTCCGCGTTAAAGGAAACGCGTTGCAGAAGTGTTGGACGAGCTCACAGCCCATTTGGTGTTAAGTGGTTACTGGAGCCCATAGACATCTACGACGTCAATGCGCCATCCACCTTGAGATATAAGTTCTAATGTCTCAAGTATAGTTACAACGGCTGCTCCACCGTTCAAACCGAAACGACTGTTTCGCGGCAGAAATAGGCAGGGTGGTGGTATCTACCCGCGCGGACTCACAAGAGGTCCTACCACCAGTAAAGTAAAAGCACTGCTTTTGCTAGGGCTAGTGTTAGCAACGACCTCTGGTTAGAGCCCCGTGAGCTCATTTACTGGCTCGGCGAATCTGGTATAACCCTTCGAGGTTAATAGAATAGGTAGAAGAAAATAAAAGGGGATAAATTATATTGTTTCGAGCACTCACTACTACAGTAGAATACATTTCTACTTTTTATTTTTATTGCTTAGGTGGGTGGACGAGTTCACAGCCCACCTGGTGTTAAGTGGTTACTGGAGCCTATAGACATCTACAACGTAAATGCGCCACCCACCTCGGTTCTAAGGTCTCAGTATAGTTACAACGGCTACCCCACCCTTCGAACCGAAACGCATTACTGCTTCACGGCGGAAATAGGCGGGGTGGTGGTACCTACCCGTGCGGACTCCCAAGAGGTCCTTCACCAGTGATTACGCAAATTATAATCTTGCGGGTTTGATTTCCCTGAAACCTCTGCCTTTAGATACAGCGTATTTCCGGAGATAAATTTCTCCTATGGGCAAAAAACGTACTTACCATTCTAATTTCACACGACACAGCCAATAATTTTCGTAGCACATCGTTCCATTTAACATTTTAAAAATCATTGAATACTCTATAAAATAATTGAATAATATGCTATATATTAAATATTTAGTAACTTGATTGATATGTATGGGATATAGTTTCCTTATATTTTTAATACTTATCAAACAATACTACCAAACGTTATTCTTGTTTAACATATTAAAATTTGGTTTCTTTTAAAATAAAAGAAAAGGAAAAAAAAAACCGATGAATAAACACTTTAAAAAAAAACAGCTGTAAATTTACAAAAAAAAAAAAAATTGTTAAGCGTATCTAACTCCTTTACACAGATTGCAGATTAAGGATTTTTTATTAGGATTTAGCTCATTTTTACGTGTAATTTCAGCGTCCAGCCATTCGATTAAATCTTTCTTCAATCGCAATATCGTGTCTTGATTAACTCGGCCATCGTGAAAGAAGTCTTTTACTACTTCAACGATTCCGTTATCGTCGTGTCTGGCTTCCCCGAACGGTCTCCGCTGTTTCATGTAATTGAAAACGAATTCAACTACCTGCGAAATCAAATCCCGCTCCGGACTGAGCAATTTCAGATTGGCAATTTCGCTTGGCACAAGTTTCGACAGCAGATTAAAGGATAGGGTCATCAAATTCGTATAGACCTCTTCGGAGAGATTTTGGAGCATCGAAACTATTTCATCGGTGCCCGACGAGCTGATACGCACGAAATATGTGCCGATTTGGAGTATCTCTTCTGGACGGATGCCGACTAATAGATGGCCTTCTTCGTCGTCTACTCCGAAGTAGTTGTCCACTCTGTTGACGGGCGAGTTCAGACGTGTGGACACATTAGCAGGCCCCGGGGGGGCTGGGCCGATTTCGGTGAATATTTGCGATCTCCCTTCCGAGCCGAGCGAGTGTAACTCGGACGGGTTGTACCCGTGTTGGTTGTTCAACATGACCCGGCCGTCGGCTGTCATCGATATCCTGAGCCTGTGCTGGTTCACGTCCTTGTTGATGCTCAGAACTTGAGCAAAGTATTCGTCTTTGTTAGCGATATTCTTGATGCCCTGGATGACTTCGGTGTTACCTTGAACGGTGCCCCGCACTCGTCTAGCTTCGGCGGAAAGCTTATCGAAAATTTTCCTGCCAAACATTTCGAGTAAGCATAAAAATAATAATAATAATAATATCTGTAGTCGGTTTAGTGACGATAGTTTTACGTGAATGACGTCAATAGCAGAACTATTAGAACTGCTAGCTGTGACGTCACGCGAGAAGAGATGTAAATGTGTCACAACCCAACGCTTGGGTCGATCGTGCCTCTCTTTACCTTGTTCCGCGCTCTCGCTCGCACGCTCAGGCTCAGGCGGAACGTGACACTTTTTCGTGCGTGCAGCCGGTTTTCATCGGTTTATGAGACATTATCACATCAAAAAAAAGAAAAAAAAAAACTATTTATTATATTTTTTTATCCTGACCACACTGATCACATTGGAGGGTAGTTGCAAAAAAATTATGTATTCACATTAGTACTTCGTGTTTGTGCAAATTGGTCCGACTCAATCGGACGTCTTAAAGTTGGTATTCAAAGATTTCGTTACACGTAAACTTTTTTATTTTTTATTGCTCGTTTAGGCAGATTAGCATACGGCCCACCTGATTATGAGCGGTTACCATCGCTCATGGACATCAGCAATGCCAGGGGCAGAGCCAAGCCGCTGCCTACCGTTTAATACTAAACATATCAAGCGTATTGAATATACCAGTTTTTAGGTTCAAATAAAGCCCTTACCTGTGCCGATTACTCCGGAGCGTATCGCGGAACTCATTTATCTTGTTCGCCTGACTCTGCTCAATGATCTCTTGCGCCGTCTGATTCGATACGACAGCGTTGAAGAAGAACAACGTCGACATGGCGAATTGGAATATCTCAATACGACTCGGCTTCTGACCGTGTTTCCTGTACTGAAATATTATTTAAAATAAATAATAGTTTAAAAAATCAACCAACAAAATACGCTTTTATAGAATTTTAATTTTAAATAGAAACTTTTTAGTTGGATTTGTATTAAGAGTAGAAGGGTTATTTTGATATTCTAATATCCCGAAAAGCACCACACGCTTTTTTATTTACAATAAAATCATTTTTTCTTACACTATTTTTAATTCAAATTTATTAAAATTTATTTTCAATTTTTTAATTGGATTTTCTATAAAAGCGTATTTTGTTGTTTTTTTAAAATTATTATTTATTTTTCATTTTTTAGTTGAATTACAATTTTTTCAATATTTTTCGTCAATCGTGAACATTTGTTAAGTACGTATTTCATTGGAAAAATTGGTACCTGCCGGCGGGATTCGAACACCGTTGCATCGCTAAATACGAATGCACACGAATGCATAATAATAATTATTAAAAATTTTGCTCCTTTACACATAAATAAGAATAAGCAATTTATATATAAAACATACTTAAAATACCTTTGGTTAACTTTGGTACCATTATTATTGGTATCTACTTCAATAATACCTTTGAAACATAAATAATAAAAGCCGGGGAATTCCCGGAACAAGCTCCTGCTTAAGAATTGAAAATAAACGATGATCTGGCCGTGAATAAAACCGCAGCTTCGACTGGTAATTTACAAATTAGCTTTGTTGTATTAATGAAGTAATTTATTATTTATGTTTCAAAGGTATTATTGAAGTAGATACCAATTTCAGAAATCTACCTTATCACAAATTAAACTGAAACTTACTTACCTGTATTATAAGATACACAAAGCCATTAGTAAAGCTCGCAGCTCCGGTCAAAAGGTTCACGTGTCGCAGCACGTCGACTGACTTAGTCAAGAACCTCCCCGACTGAAGTAAATAAAACATTTACTTGTATATATATATAACAGTGAGATCGATCGTCCAAAATATACGCGGGCCGTTTGTGGTAGGTCCTTAGACGAAAGTATCTATATATAAACGTAGTTAAACACTATAATTTTATTAAATTTATAATAATAATTAAAAATATACTGTATAATTAGATTTTAGTAAATATAGTATAATAATACAATCGGGAAACGAAGTTTGATTTTAGTTCGTTTTTGTTAATACATATTTAAATTAAGTTTACTATAAATTAAGTTCATAGCATCTCCACGCCTGATGAGTTATTAATAAAAGAAATGAGACAACCCCGCGTCTCAGTGTTAACAGCCTGGCCACGGGACATTCGCCGATACGAATATTCGCGCGGTGCGAACGGCGAAGCGCCTAGCGACTAAAATAAGCGCATAAAAATGTACTTATCAAGCCACGCGCACCGACGACCGGCGAAATGTACCGAGCGAATCGCGCGGGCGAGCAAAACAAATGCATGAATAAGGACGGCGCGAGCCACGGAGTCGAGCGGTAGTCGCGGCGAATAGTGCAATGATTAAATGAGTTTAGTTGTTTTCGGCACGAAAAATGAACACCGTAAGTTTTATTGCTGATATATTACTTAGACGAGCTATTTGGAAGTCTAGCCACTCAAAGCAGCCAACATTTTTCTGGATACCTACATTCTGTATTTCTCGTGCTTCTTGTCGAATTCTACATCTATACTCCGATTCTTAAATCATGTACTCCACAATCTCTTCCAAATAATAGGTCTTGAACCAAAAAACGATTACTTTCTAAGCAATATCGAGATAATTTCGATACAGACATTGCGCTGTCGGACTTCCTTGCTAGTCGCGGCGGCGAACTTGACTAGCCATGGCCTGCAAACGGTACCGCGCGAATGGTCGCCTCCTCCGCCGCTTCGTCGTTCGCACCGCCGATCCCCGTGGCCAGGCCGTAAGAGAGACAAGAAGCGCATTATTTTGTACAATGACGTCACCATCGCGATGCGAAGTTTGTATCAAGTTTGCCTAATAGTCTTCGAATAAAATTAAAAATGACTCGTTACTGTCAGTCGCCGTGAAAAGTATCTTATACGTTTCTATAACACCGGTTGGTCTGCGTAATCTGTGCGTGCCATGTAACGGTGGTCGTTCATAGTGAAAGCGTACCGTTCCTGTAGTAGCCTGAGCTGTTACCTACCGTAGTGAGGTTGGTGCCGGCCGCTGCTGATTTAGATAGGAGATTGCTGGCCGCTCCGGCCGTGAGACCCACGCCCGAGGCCGCTATGTTTAACCAACTGTTACGAGCTTCAGAATTGGTCACGTTTATGGTCTGTGAACGAACGAAGCTTTATAGATTTTGCCGAAATTATTCCTTTGAAGCCTGGAGGAAACGAGAAAGGCAAGAACTTCCACCGAACGGGTAAAATCGCTCGGTGGGGCGACGGTACGAATGTTATCGTTCGGAGTCTGTATCCTATAGTGAGATTCAAGCATCTGTCAAATATCTTGTGTCTGTATCGTAGCTACCGCCACATATCTAAGAAGTTCAGAAAAAAACTTTATGTAGCTAACAGTTTGGCCACTTCTAATATGTAGGCTTCTAATAATAGGCTTGTGAAGAGAATTAAGCGGTAGGCAGCCGCTTGGCTCTGCCCCTGGCATTGCGGATGGTCCATGGGCGACGGTAACCACTCACCATCAGGCGGGCCGTATGCTGGTCTGTCTACTAGGGCAATAAAATTTTTTTTTTGTGATATTTTTGTAAATCATTCAGAATTATTTATTGACACAACTGATTTCGAAGTGCACGGGCAAAATAACAACTTTCCTATTTCTGCCGTGAATTTCCTAATTGTTTTTTTTTTAATAAATTGCCTTACCTAAGTTTATGGGCCCTAAAGTGCATGACATCATCCACCTTGAAGACATGAAGTGTAAGTCTCATTTGTATTGTGTAACGGATGTCCCACCTCGAGACCTCAGATCGTAAGATTGCTTCGTGGCACAAATAGGCAAAATGGTGGTAGCTAGTCGTACGGGCTCACAATTTTTTACTGGTAGTAGGACCTCTTGTGAGTGCGCGCGGTTAGGTTATTTGCCTTTGTTATCGCCTATTTCTGCCGTGAAGCAGTAATGCGTTTCGGTTTGAAGGGTGGGGCAGCCGTTGTAACTATATTTGAGACCTTAGAACTTATATCCCAAGGTGGGTGGCGCATTTACGTCGTAGATGTCTATGGGCTCCAGTAACCACTTAACACCAGGTGGGCTGCGAGCTCGTCCACCCACCTAAGCAATAAAAAAGAATACAGTTTACGACAAGCAAATTGATGATCGCAGCATGCTGGTATGATACTCAGATAAGGTTGCCCATTCTTGTGTGATAACCTCTATAGCCTTGTACAAGATCTACGAGAAGAGACAAAGCAGCTACCTGTTCATGCGTCCTTCGGTCGTGTAAATGCAACGAAGACCTGATCAGCCCGTAGATTCCCGCAGTGACGGAGACGGCGGCCGCGCTTGCGAGCAGCACGGGCGCCACCGGTGTTAGCGCGGCCACCCCGACCACTCCCACGGCGCCCAGCGAGACCACCGTGGTCGCTGTGTCCACCGAACTCAGCACGCGTGACTTCAGTCCGAGGGCAGGTGACGGCGCCACTGTTAGATTCACCGTGAAGTCTGTTCCGTCCTTTATTGAAGTAGTGAATGATGGTTTAGCAACATTTTTATATGAAAATAAAAAAAGGACACTAAAAGGAGACAAACATTACATATATAGGATTTAGTCAGTCAGAGAATGAAATAGAGTGTTCGAGAAGGTTTCACACCTACCGCGCTTGAGATGCAAATTTTTTTTTTGGAGTTTACTCCTTTAGAATCGATTTACATATATAGGCCCGGGGTATGAAAATTATGGGGACCAAAATCGTACTAGCATGTCACACGAAATGCGTTATGCGCCTGATTGGCTCCTGATTGCGTGATGCGTGCGCGCGCCAATCAGGAGCCAACGCGCGGCCGCGTTATCGCAGGTGACGCGATGACGCCGGGCTGCTGCGCCGGCAGTCCGCCACAAAGCCTCGTACTGATCGCGCGTTTCTCTCATTATTGTATTTTCATATATTTGTTAGTCGTTTGTTTTGTGTCTCGTTAATTTGTTAATAATCTGTAGTGTATCGTGTTGTCGTAATATAGAACTATTTCTCGTATTGTTTCGTTTAATTTTTTATATCCAGTAAACTCCAGTCGTGCGTCGGAGCGGACACACACACTTTTTTTTTACATTGCTGGCGAGTAATCATACTAGATGCGGGTATCTACAACATTAATGATTACGTAAAGTTAGTACATAGTTTTAGAACGACAACCTCTGGCATATTCACATCAGACGGGTACGGGTATACCATAGACAAATTACTCTGCCCGGGTTTCTGTAACGAGTGTGTCTGAATATGGGTATAGTTTCCCAAACGGGGCCAAAAAGGTTTTGGTAGAATTCATCTAATTAAAATATGTTATGGGTATTAGTTCGAATATCCCGCAAACAATAGGACCGATATTGATGAAGCTTTCGAAGTTATCGTGGTTAAAAGGACGCTTGGTGTATTCGTATCAATACGATTGTGCTGTATCAAATACCGCACGCGTGCACCAATTTTTCTAGTAAAATATGTACTTTATTGACGGATAAGTTCACTATGTAAGAACAATATTATGTAATAAAAAACCAAAACAGCAAAATTTTTAATTTGCTTAGTTTCTTGTAATAGGATATTTCGTGAGTACGGGTGCTACTTCTTCTTTATTATTTGTCTCCATTTCCACCACTAGGTGGGGTCGGCACATCGAATTCCATTCTCATCTATCAGCCGTCATCTCAACACTCACTCCTCTCTCTCCTCATATCGTTATTCACACTCCTTCCATGTCTTCTTTCGTCGACCTCTTCCCCCTATACCTTGCACTACCATTTCCATATATCTCATAGTATTTTAACCACTAATGCGTACAGTGGAGGCTTAGATCTCATGTTTCAAAGTCCGTGGCGGAATTCAAGTAGTGATGTCTATGGACATCGCGAACCACGCAAGACCAAGGGAGGCCTGAACTCGTACAGATAATTAAAAAAAATGGCTCCTTGCTACAATGTTAAAAACCACAAATAAAAACTAAATTTTATCAAACAAGTCTATAAATTTGTAAAAGTTTAGTCGCTTAAGATTACCTCAGTAAGTGTTCCGGTATATTCTCCGTTCTCAGGGACTATTAGAACACATTTGTCCAATGTGTTTTCTGTCAAGTAAGCATTCCAACTATGGTACACCCGGGCATTGTCATCAATATATATTTTGCATGGTTTCGCTGAAAGTTAATTTGAAATCTCAAATCAATAATTAGGTATTATTATTATACTTAAATATACACCTTTCATCGTTGATAAACTTAAAACAAAAAATATAGAATAATCATTAATTACATGAACATAGAAAGGTATAGAAAATAAAAATAAAAGAATGTGAAATAATAAGTAATCAAAATGGGTTAAGTATATATACTATATAGTCACAACAAAATAAGGGCCTTGGATTGAAAGTCGCTCACAAGTATGGCCTCCTGCTCCAGTAAAAAAATACCAATCTCAATCAATTTTGTCTCAATGATCATTAGAAAACATGTCTAAATCAGTTGTATCACTTATAATGGAAATCTATATTAAGGTTTACGAACTTACCATTCATTTCTATAGGTATACATTTTCTTATGCAAAATACAGGTACGAGCCATATTTCGGAGTCACTCCGTTCGTGTAGATCAAGCCAACATTTCGACGGTTGAATGTTTAAAAAATTCTTGGGCTTTGGACGTGCACAAACAACCAGTAAATTCGACATATAAATTTCATCTTCAAATGAATATTTACCTGGAATTCAATTAATCATTTTTAAATTATAATGACAAATTTAATGTAGCATTTGTAGCAATTGCTTTTAATGACTTTATGAAATAAATAATATAAAAGTATAATCATATTAAGTGATTAAGCTGCTATAGTGTGCAAATTAATTTTCTATAGCCTGAATGGCTATTTACTTACTAATGGTAAAGAAACAAAATAATGTTAAAAATTAAATATAATAATTACTGGTAGGGTGGGTAGGTAGGTAGGCTTTATAATGCATGTATAATAAAAATGATTATTTCCACCTGACATAGGTACCTTAGTTATACATATAGTGAAATATTCGTTTCATTTTTTTATTTATTTATAACCACCCACTTATTATTTTCTGATGCATGGTAAGCTCAGACAGATAGGAAGGACTATTTGTCTACTTTTTTGAAGAGTGGGTCTGCTGTTACACAATTTTGAGATTTCGACCTTATATGTCTCAAAGGTTGGTGGCTGCATTTACAATTATTAGTACAATTAGTTAATGTCTTTGGGTTTCCTAACCTTTACTTTACACCAGAAGTTTCGGGAGCTTGCTTGCCCATCTACAAAACAAAACAACAACCTTTATACAACAGAGATTTTCTATCGCATGACCTAATAAGCGATGCAGCATTCATTCATCATGTTAGGTTATAATCATTGGTAAACCAGCAAATATAAAATATTTTTTATTGATTGTCTATAATACGACATATGTCCATAAGTATACATAGTTGGTACTGTTTTTTTGGTGGGAAAGCGAGCATACCTATTCTGATGGCGAGTGGTTACTGTCACTCATGGACATTGGGCTGTGCCACTGTATTGCTCCATACTACGCGGAAATAAATAGGTAAGATAGAATACCAAAGCAATCAGTACCTACTGGAGTGATATGATAATATATATTTTTTCTATCATGTGCATTTAGAATATTTTTTAGTTTTTGCATAGTTTATAGTACCATGCCTGTAGTTGCAGTGATACTAGTTTTAACTACAAAATAAATTCCAACAACACAAATAAATCACAATTTTATTTCTGAATTTGGTTATTTCATTGCAGTTTTTTATCTAGTCTTCAGTGTCAATGAACAGCAAACTTAAAAAAACAAAGATAGCATAATCATTTTATCATCATTTAATCAGGGATGTTAATAAATAAGAGATTGTAACAGTTCACATATGGAGCTTATTTTTTTTTTATTAATTTTGTCTAAGATTAGCAATACAATAGAAAGTGATAAATAGTGATCCACCATAAATTCCCCAATTGCCATTCGCTACTATGTGGATGTTCGCTGTATTAGAGGCAGTTAATTAATCTTGTTGAACCTAACTTAGATTATAATTTTTTTATTACCACCTTAATTAAAAAATATTCTCAGGAATGATTATTAGTATTACCTTGTTCACATATTTTTGCATAGACTAAGTCAACTTTTTCTTTTTGTCTGGAAGTGTATCCTTGAAGATTAATTGCATTCATTTCTTCCTTTTCTATCAGCTCCCCTTCAGTAATCGGAGGACCAAATAGTCCAAATGCCAAGTTTTGCAATAAATGATTTCTATTGCACTTTTCATATCTGAAATATAATGTTGCTTCTTACAAAATCTATTTTCAAGCAATTTATAGAGAGTTAAATTTTTTTTCATATTCAGGGTTGATGTGCTTACCGGAATCCATAGACATGTGAATACAGACACTTTGAAACCTTGAAATTTGAGGCCTATATTGAAACTGTTTAGTGACAGTAGTAATGGTGCATATCACAATTTTCACAGGTTTCATTTCTATCACACAATTTAATTGCATAATTGTGGAGGTTGTTCGTGAACATATATCAACTATCTTCAGACCTCCAGTTTATTAGAAAGATTAATCGTGGACTTTGGAATTTAAGCACTGGCATAGTCTCATACGAGTAAGCCGAGAATTTTATCCTTTAGGTCATAAAAACTTCAATATAATATTTTTATTATTATCATTTTACAATTTAAACACAGCAGTAAGTAACTAACTTTGGTTTTTATAAAATTTTGAGAGGAATTTTGAAATTAAAATTTTCAATATATTCATTTCATGATTTAACCACTAATGTTAGTAAGTATTTACCTAATCCAGTTACAATCCCCTAAGTTTTCAAAATATTGCTGTTGTATTTGTACAGGGGTTAAGTTAAAGTCACAATCTGTTGGTGCTTCAACATGTAATGTTGGATTTGAGCTTTCTTGCACTGTGTCCGTTGAGGTGTGTTCATCCATTGTACTGAAAATAAGGTTACCACATATGACGCAATTTTACTATTATTACTGATTCAATAGATATATACAATACAGTGGAAAAATTATGTATTTGAAATGCACATATGCAAAGTTTTTTAGTTTCTAAATTAATTCTCGATATTTAATATTCCTTACCTTGTGACTTTTTTGTTCACTTTAAGGACTATTGCATTAAGCAATAAGTATATATTTGTATATCACTGACAGCTGTCGTTGCTTATCAGGGAATTCACCGATCATAAGCTTGGTATACCACAAAATGTTGTCTATGACCCTAAGTGAAATGAATGTTAGTCTTCGAATGATAGCACCATGTCTTATCTATGGAGAACTCTAAATTTATTTTAGGGACTCTAATTAATTTGCACAGTAGGTACCTATACTTTTTTCAATGTTGACAGTGTTTTTGTTGATTGTTGATAAAATGGATCTGACGTAAAACATATGTTATTTTGTTTTAATTCAATAGTTGCATAGGCAAAAGGATTTTAGCCCATACATGAGAAATTTTGTAACAAAGGATAAGACACGTTTGTTACGCAAAAAATAAAATGGAGCAGCTTTTGAAAAAGAAAACAGTTATTTCAATTTATTTTATTTATTTGGACAGACAAACAGTGAACTTAAACTATATAAAATCCAAACTTACAACTAAAAACAATTAAATGTCACCGCATTTAAAAAAAATCTACGAAAAAATCTATGAGAAAATCATTTAAAAAAATGTTATGAAACGCTATGCTAAATTATATTATGAAACAAAATAATTTTATAGTAAAATAGTGGGAATTTACAGAGAGTTAAATGGAAATCAAGAAGACTTGTCCAGTGATTTCATTTGATTTTTCCACATTTGTGCATTGTCACATTTGTAAACATTATTGTATGTTGTTATGGCCATAAATTCAGAAGTCGGAGTAGGTAGATTGATATAAGGTCGTTGACGTCAAACGTTGAGGATAATATGGATAAGCCTCCAAAATACCGGAACTTCCTATTTATTGTGATATTTGCTCCGGAATTTTGAAATTAGCATGAACTTGTGCTTAAGGTGAAAAACGTATTAATAATATCAATCTACTCTGATATTTACCTGAAATGAAACATGTAACATGTTTGGCGCATGCTCTTCATCGTATATCAGAGAAAATAAGATCAGAATATAACGACGTCGATATTTTAGTAGCAAATGTTAAACAAGTTTTATAGCCACATATAAATGGATATTAGACGTCAAAAGGAATAGCTTAAAATTAGAAAAAATTAAAAAAATTATGATTATTTATTTTAATGTTGACATTCAAAATATAGAAATTGTACAGTCAAGTTGGGTAACTTTGAATTTCCGTGTAATTTTGAATAAAACTTGTTTGAAGATTTATATATTTTTTTTTCAAACACTTTTTGCATAATTACTTGAATGTTTAATTAATGAAATAATAATTTTAATTATATGAAACGGAACGTTGAGATAATCAAAATGTCAAATGTGTCATAAAATTGTCAGTTGTGAATAAGTTTACAAAACTTTGGCGCCTTTTCTGTTCGCGGTGATCAACAAGAAAAAAATGTGCGTGGCAGAAATCTGAATTAAATATAGAAAAGGTATGTAAAACACTGTTTTTTTTTGTTTCTGGAGGTAAAATATTTATTCAACTTGCCTTTTTTCTAATAATTTCATGAGTTTACAATGTTTTTTGCCCAGAATTGATTGTCTCACAGATCATTGTAAATTTATTTGAAATTGGTGTAACTTTGAACGATTCAATCTTACCTAATTGCCAATTTTATTTTTATGGGTAACTTTGACATGTTGAGTTGCAATTTATTATGCTTTTTTTCTACTGTTATACGCAAGGGCGGATCCAGCTTTGGTGCCAGGAGGGGGTCACATAGTCATTGTCAAGTCAAGAACTTATAATTTAACTTTGATAACAATAGATAAAAGTAAAAAGTAGGTATCTTATTAATGTACGTAAGTACTGTACTTATAAATATTTATTCTTTATTGTACACTTGAAAAACTTAACACATAATAACTTGTACATATACGCGTACATATAGTCATCTTTTTTTTTTTTTTTATAACAACTAAGTGGCAAACAAGCAAGACGGGTCACCTGATGGTAAGTGATTCACCGCCGCCCACGGTCACCAGCGTTTACGCCAGTGCGTTGCCTACCCTTCAGGTAAGAATATGCTCTTTTCTTGAATAACCCAATGTCGGAGTTGTTGGGGAAGACCGCTGATGGCAACGAATTCCAGAGATTTACTGTGCGTGGCAAAAAACTGTTTTTAAAACGCATTGTAGTGGAACGCCAACCATCCAGATGGTGCGGATGATAGTTCCGGCGAGACGATCGGTTGCGAAAATCAGCGGCTTCTATTAAATTGAACAACTCCTCGGAACACTCCCCATTATAAATTCTGTAAAGTATGCATAGGGAAGATAGATCCCTACGCAGTGCCAAAGGATCTAGCCGATCGGCAAGTTCAGGATCGTCGACAATCCGAGATGCCCTACGTTGGATTCGGTCAAATGGAGATAGCTGATAACCCGGAACCCCGGCCCAAAGGTGGCAACAATACTCCATGTGAGGCCGCACCTGCCCCTTATACAGTTTAAGGCGGTGAGCCGGCTTGAAGTACTATTTGGCCCTGTTGAGTACTCCGAGTTTTTTGGCCATTTTAGCCTTGCTCTCCAAATGACCGCCAAACTGGACAACACTCGAAATGTCTACGCCCAGAATGCCGATGTTCGGCTTGGCACAAAGGTGAGTGTTTCCGAAGAGTGGCGATGCGACAAAGGGGGCTTTTTTAGCGGTGAACGCGCAAACTTGAGTCTTAGAAGGGTTAAACTGGACTAGATTTAGTCCCCCCCAATCGGAAATCTTCACAAGGGATGATTCGATTTCAGACACAAGTTTATTCCGACACTCATCGACGTTATCCCGAGAGATATTGCTGCAGCCGAAATACAGTGTATCCACGGCACTGTCATCCGCATAGCAATGAATGCCACTGGTATGCAACAAATCATTGATATGCAGAATGAACAATGTCGGGGATAACACGCAGCCTTGGGGAACACCAGCATTTACGGTCCGGGGGTCCGCGCATGAGCCGTTTACGACGACTTTAACTCTCCGTTCCGCAAAGAAACTGCCGATCCACCTACAAAGTCTCTCAGGAAGCCCATAGGAAGGAAGCTTCGATAGTAAGGCTTTATGCCAAACCCGATCGAAGGCTTTCGCAATGTCCAAACTAACGCCTAGTGCCTCACCCCTACTCTCAACCGCCTGCGCCCAACGGTGAGTTAGTAAAGCCAGAAGATCACCAGCTGATCGGCCTTTGCGGAAGCCATATTGGCTGTCGCTGATCAGCTGGTGCTCTTCCAGGTAGCCCATGAGCTGGCGGTTGATTATTTCGGATTGCTGGCTGGCGGTTGATTATTTCGGCGGATTCCATAATTTTGGAGAGTAAGGAGGTGATAGCGATAGGCCTGTAGTTGGACGGATCTGAGCGGTCGCCTTTTTTAGGGATCGGGTGTACTAGAGCGGTCTTCCATGAATGTGGGACAACGCCGAAGACATAAGAGTGTCTGAATAAGCGCGTTAAAACCGGTGCCAACTCTGGAGCACAAACCTTCAGCACAATAGGAGATATTCCATCGGGCCCACTCGACTTGTTGACATCCAGGGAGAATCCACGGTGAAGGAATAACATCGTGTAATAAAATTGAAACCCGCAAAATTATAATTTGCGTAATTACTGGTGGTAGGACCTCTTGTGAGTCCGCACGGGTAGGTACCACCGCCCTGCCTATTTCTGCCGTGAAGCAGTAATGCGTTTCGGTTTGAAGGGTGGGGCAGCCGTTGTAACTATACTGAGACCTTACAACTTANATTCTCTTTTAAATTATCAGTTAAGAAATGACCACTAGGTCTCTTATAGGCTGCAAGTCTTAAGTCATCTTTTAAAATACGCGACATGGTTCTCGGTGCTATCTTCATCTCCCGAGATAAAATCTTTTGCTTTCGGACAGGATTTCTTCGAATTCTTTCCCTTACTGCTTTGACCACCTTTTTCGTACGAACACTACGTGGACGGCTAGTTATTTTTCGGTCACAAACAGAGGAGGTCTCATTGCACCTATTAATAGCCCGGTACACAAACATTTTACTAATACCAAGCGTATGGAGAGTTTTAAAAATTGCATTTGGCTCCATACATACTTTGCGTAATGCAATCACAGCGATTCGGTTTTCTTTATCACCCCACTCCATTTTAATATCTCAAAATATTGTACAATGTATTGGCGCCAAAATGAGAAAACTCAATGAGCAATGATATAAAAATGACAGATTCCAAATTCAAATGTAATATTTTGTTTATTTTTAATTGTAACAGTATTTATGGCCAGACTAAGTATTGTGTCCTTAAATCATTATGTTCAATATGTGGTCCACCTAGGTCCTGGGACCAGCTCAGGGGGGGGTCATGACCCCCATGACCCCCCCCCTGGATCCGCCCTTGGTTATACGTTAATAAAATGCCACGAAAAGCAAAAGTGATTAAGCCCGGTGTGCGTAAATATGGCGTAAAATCAAATTATACCCCAGCTATTTTAGAGGAAGCCCTAGATAAAATCCGATCCATTGAAAGAGTAAGCTCTAACAATATCACCATAAATGTTTTCAAAAAATAATGTTTTGGGGGCTGGACGAGGTATTCAAAAAATGAACGGTGCGTTGTAAAGAAGGAGAACATAATATCTTTACTAAAAGAACATCAATTAACAAGAAGGGTTGGAAAGTTTTTCATGGATGATGATATTTTGATCTTATATTCCAAAGTTGAAATCCCGGAACTTTTTCTGGTACTTCCCGCACATCACTACATAGTATAAAACAAAGTCGCTTTCTCTGTCCCTATATCTGTCTGTCCCTATGTATGCTTAAATCTTTAAAACTACGCAACGGATTTTGATGCGGTTTTTTTTAATAGATAGAGTGATCTATGAGGAAGGTTTATATGAATAATAACATCCATTAAATAGTGGAGAAATCAATAATAAATTACAGTTTCTGAAGCGAAGCGAGGGCGGGTCACTAGTTATGGATAAAATGGCATGTCCATATTATAATATCTTGACGCAAGTATATAAAATCAATCTAGCTACTCCGACCACTAGCCATAATATACGCTTAAACTACAAGAACCACAATTTTTTTAAATAGGTATTTTTGGAAAAAATACGGTATTTGAAATCATGACTAAATGGACCATATTTTGAAATAGGTTGCCAAAGGTAGTATGACGAAGAGGTCGACTTGCAACCAACTGAGTTTCTCGCCGGATCTTATTAATGGTTCGCAAATCCGATCCGGTGCTAGATTATGAGAATCATTGTTCTTGTTATGTAGGGTAAGTATTAAAGATTCTCTGAGACTGAGCCCCTCGAGGCTACTAGCGATTTGGTAAGTAAAAAAAGGTACATGAAATACCGAATTAGCGAACACATTGTCGTATTTATCTAAGCAGATACTAGGCTGCACTAAAAGTATCGGGAATGGAATATTTCCACTGTTCCTGTCATATTAAAATCTTTTTAATTGAAAACTCCTTGGTTTTAAAAATCGAATACCATTTATTTATTTAGAAAAAGATTCTCGGTCTTGTCACGAGGTTTTGTCAAACTTGTTTAGTCGTTGAAAAAATGGAATTGACTCGAGAAAATTCAAGAGCGATGATTTATTATGACTTTCGAAGTGGTTTACCACAAAAACAGTGTGTTGACCGGATGATTTCTGCATTTGGTGATGAAGCCCCATCCAAAACCACAATTTATCGCTGGTTTGCTGAGTTTTAACGTGGACGTGTCAAGCTCAGTGATGATCCCCGTCAAGGTCGTCCAAAAACTGCAGTCACCCAAGAAAACGTTGATGCTGTGCGTAAGCTGATTGAGGAAGATCGACATGTNCCAAGAAAACGTTGATGCTGTGCGTAAGCTGATTGAGAAAGATCGACATGTGACATACCGCGAAATTCAGGCAACTTTAGACATTGGCATGAGTCAAATACAAATAATCTTGCATGAACAATTAGGTGTAAAAAAGTTGTTTTCCCGATGGATACCGCATTCGCTCTGTGAAGAGCAAAAAGCGGCTCGCGTTACTTGGTGCGTCAAAACTCTCTAAAGATTCCACGCAGGATTCTCAAATGCTGTATACAACATTGTATAAGGTGACGAATCCTGGATATACGCGTACGAACCCGGAACAATAAACCAGTCACGAGTTTGGGTGTTCGAAAATGAGTTAAAGCCAACAAAAATTGTTCGTTCACGGAGTGTTGCAAAAAAAATGGTGGCCACGTTTGTCTCCAAAACCGGCCATGTTACGACAATTCCTCTTGAGGGACAAAGAACGGTTAATGCAGAATGGTATGCTGGCATTTGTTTGCCACAGGTCGTTTCTGAACTCTGTAAAGAGAACTGCAACCGCCGCATCATCCTCCATCACGACACACCGCGCACAGAACAAAAGAGTTTTTAGAGCAAGAAAACATAGAATTATTAGACCATCCGCCGTACAGCCCCGACCTAAGCCCTAATGATTTCTATACTTTCCCTAAAATAAAGAATAAATTGCGTGGATAGAGATTTTAATCATCTGAAGAAGCTGTGGACGCATACAAAACGGCCATTTTGGAGACCCCAACTTCCGAATGGAATGGTTCTTCAATGATTGGTTCCATCGTATGGAAAAATGTGTCAAATTTCGCGGAGAATACTTCGAAAAGCAATAAATACATTTTTAAATAGTAATGTTGTGTCAATTCGTTAATTCCCGAAATTTTCAGTGCCGCCATCGTATACTGTTAGTTGTTTGGATTCATTTCATGCCTTGAATAATAAAAATATCACAAGTGCTATTCAAGATTGCAAAATATCTTTAGGCGGAATTTCAACTGAATCCGTTCTGTCTTATTGCGTGATTGAGTAAAAGCGCTTAAACATACAAGTTTATTTATTTATATATTCATGTTAGTATAGATATGCAACTTGCATTTAAAAAGAAAATAAACGACATTGTACCTAATACCTACGTCTATAGAAATTGTACCTGGTGAGTAAAATATTTAATTTTATACAAACCGACTATACATACTCAAATGTTTTTAGTAACTACAATAAGCTATAAAATGATACACTTAAAGAAATTAAGTAGGCTAAAAACCTTTCAAAATGAAAATTTTAGAGGTTGTGACATTGATTTCTGGGTGAATTAATATCGATAGCTGTGTAGATTAAAATCGCATTCCTGGATTACATGTTATGGTTTTACAGTTCGACGTTAGAATGTTTTTATAAGGCAATAGTAATATTATTGTTTCAGAACATAAGCTTTGTGGCTCATTCATAAATTCGTTGATTAAACATAGGCGAAAATATTATTGTTATTGTCTAAGAGCTACTCCAGTGACTTCCATATTAAAGATTTATATTAATATTATGCTGAACGTTTACGTAATGTTTTGAATAATATTTTATGTAATAATTAGGATGGAATGTACGATAAGGTCAGCTATACTTACTGTTACCGACGTATTAATTAACTCACCGTGGTCTAAAGGATTAGCGCCTGCCGTATTTGTAACTACAATGAAATCTGTTTAGATGAGGTATCTCCTTTTTACAGCCAGTTAGTTTTTTCTAATGAGGCGCGTCGATCCTGCATATTACTGCCGCGAATCAGTCTTGCGTGCACGTTTATCAGTTCATGTCACTATTTCAAAATGCCATTTCAGTTTTATCACGTCAAGAATCGCCAGTACTATCTGCCTTAATTTCCCGAAAGATTTTAATAAATTTTATATTTATATAATAATGCGCTGAGGGCTAGTTTTTTTTTTATTACCCATAAAACACGAATACTCACCCTGAAATGTGACGTCAAAATCTTAATTGTATTGTTTAATTGCTTTTCTACACGGTCAAATCGAAATGCATGACTGCTTTGCGGCCGAAACAGGCGGCATGGTCATACCGTGTGGTATGACAATACAAACTATAACTAGTATAAGCCGTATTTGTTTAAATGTTGTTTTTTTTTAGGATCAAAAGCAACTGCTTGGCGATTGAAACTACTACCGTATCGCAATCACGACCCGCTGAAAAGATCAGGCGAGATACTCAACGGGCTGGCATGAGTTAAATTGCACGTCTAACTCTTTGTCGATTTCGACGATTACGATTTGTTTAAATGTATTTAAACGAATTTTAGACGACCAACAAATCACACTACTTTCAGCACTTGTTCACACATTAATTTAGAGCGTATTGTTGCGTAACGTTACAATAACGTTACCCGTTCTACGTGGAGCTCGAATTGGAGCTGTATTTTGAATTTTAGGAGGTGAAAACAATGAGTGATATTATCACTGTTTTGTCGTGTGGACGCAGGTTGCGTAGGGATGGTAAAATCACTATTCATACTTTTTTCAAAATCCAATTAAACGTTCGAAATTCAAATTATAGTTTAGAAAATGACAGAATTGCTTATGTTAAGAATAATAGTCTTGCAGAAAATTGAACCTAGTAGCAGTCCTAGCAGAATGGATCGTTAACCATTCAAAATAAAAATGTTTTAGTATTCAAGTTGGCCTTTACAGGTAATTATAATCCGGAATATGGATTTGTCATGTTCACAATTGAGTGGATTCGTTGAAAAACTCAAAGCTTTCTCTTTTCCAACGTATCTATGTATAAATCAATATTTACTAATTTTGTACCAACGAGGCGGTCTTACAAGAGCTAGCGCGAGTTGCATTAGTCGGTGATGGAGTCGGGTGTATATCGTGAGTTCACCTGTCAATCCCAGTCGGCAGAATATCAATCAGAAAATGCAATCGATAAGCGAAACAATGCATCTTACATACATTCTACACTTTCAATATTTTGTTTTTGAATTATGCTTGGATTGGTAAATTGGATAGAAAAAGTTAGATATTGTTACGCGCTAGGGTCCGGGATAAATAAAATTCTAGCGAAGTGTAAATTAACACTGTATTAACACTTAGAGCACTCACAAAGCACTTTAAAATTCTTAATTCACTTCTTCAGCTTCGCTTCAGGTGTACCGTTCACTGCTTTGCTTCGAGTAGTTCCGATTATTGCGATTACTAACTGCTTCGTGCCATCTCTGCAACGCTTTTGTAGCCGATATGATATCCCTAGAATTATCGAGAACATTCCTCACAAGTCGAGTATATTCGATGTGTGTTTCTGCTGTCTGACAATAGATTGCATTGACTTCTCGATTTTACTAGTACCTTCGATATTCGTTCGGCTAATCGGTGATAGATGGCGTTACTCTTACTGACGTACCAATATTAGGAATATTTTAAGTTCCCAGAGAAGAGGCAACCCTATAACATAAATACATCTATCGTTAACGTACCAAAGAATACATGGTTGCGCGATAATACCACATACATCATTACAGTAATATTTTTAGCGCGAAACTTACGTTCCATCAGTTAATGGAATCTTAAGAATCCATATTTCAAAAAAGTAAATGACTCAATTCGACAACTCATTTATTAAAATGTGTTCAGTTTTATCCTGACAAAATTGATTACAATTCAACTATTCTGTTCTTACAATTGAATAAAATATAAAAACAGGTTTAACAAAAAATTAGAATGAAAGGGCATCATAATTTCTTTTTAAGTGTGCGTAATTACAAAATTCTCATATTTCTAACTGTCTTAGTGGGTTTGTGTTTGATTTATTTTCAAAACAGTGGCGTTTATCATAACAAATACCTTCCGTTACCACGAGAGGCAATGGAAAAAGTGAGTTACAGCCTTCAGTTGCACAAATATATTATCGATCAGTACTACGATTATCGAAAGGTAAGGGAATTCAATACATTAGAAAGGAAAAATAACATTAAAACAATAATTTTTTATACGTCAGCAACTCATAATTGATTTAAACGCAGAAATCGAGAACCCTGGATCGTTCTAGACGCGAAGGTCGTCAGCGTCAAGTCCGGCCATTTTGAGAGACGCCGACCGGACGCTGCTTTTCGAATGGCGGGGCAGTTGGCGAGCGTATGCTTCGTCAAGTCTTTCTCGCAACAACAGTGGTGTTACATTATCTTCAGCGGTGCAAGTAACAGACGAAATAGCTGTGACCCGAGAGCACCTTTTTTTTTCGTCCAGCGTCCGGGCCTCCTACGAGATCCCCGCACCTAGGGGGCACGCGGGATATGTGGAACACTGGTCCGCGAAAGCTAACCGCAGACCAAGGCTATTTTTAGGGCCCTACCGCACTAAGCTACTCCCTTGCACTCTTACATTCAACGTCCGATCTCCGGCCGGGGTCAAAACCCGGTCAGAGTTAGGGGGGTGTCGTGGTTAACACTACAACCAGACTTGCGGCATCACCCCGAGGATGCCTAACCCACGGGTCGGCGAGGCTATAGTTGACGACCAACGACGCCAGTTTCCGCGGTACGGCGGCCCTGTCAGGCCGCCCGGGCGATGCCACTGGTGTTCAGGATACCTCGCTGGGTCGGAACCAGCCTACCGGATCGGAACGCGATACACTGTCGACCGGGATGCTCTTCCACAGTACGCTCGGCGACGACAGTGACGATGGCAATACGCACCGCATCGTGGATCGCAGCCAACGACGCGCCGTCCCATCCTCTTGGTGCTAGCGCGCTAGAGTGATAGGAACGTGTGGCGCAGCTTTGACCCCCTTAAGTCGCCTCGTGACCATCACCGGGAAGAGACTGCCTCCTCACAGTTGCCGGAGCTGGACGAACGGCCCCGGCTCTGTGGTGGCGACGCGGCGAGACCCGAGAGCATCTGCGTCAACCGTAAGGTGGGACGTTTTTGGTCAAGGTTCACTCATTCTATGAGGACAGAACAGTCGGACGGTCCTTAGACTAGTGATCGGGTCCGCTATGATACTAGACATCCTAGTTTCAGCACTCAGGGAGCATAAAGGTTGGCTCGATCCGGTGGCTGAGGTCGTATTATCAGTCAAATTCAGGGGCGACTGGCTTAGGTCGCCGTGGTCTTAGGGCAGTGTCCGGGTTCAAAGGCACGTCGCTTCGAAAGAAACCTTACAGTGCGGATGGCGTGATATTGTAACACCTATAGGATTTTCAACCAGGGCACGATGTTGAATGTAATAGCGATTGACGCTTGAGGGGGCTTGTACGCGTACTACCGCAATCAGGATAGAACAAGGCCAAAGTTTCTCCGAAGAAGTTACTTTTTTTGGAAAAGCTACATAATGGCTGTAGCTGTATTTTCATGTTCTTTTTATTCATACAGGGGTTAGAATAAGATTATTATGATAAGAAAATTATTTTTATCTCTGCTCTTTCGCAATGCGCTCTGATCAATAAGAACATATTTAGGTATATATATATCTAGCAGGCTTTATCTAATATTCGGTGGTTTCTTAATCTTGAAAGTCGTTCATTATTACGGCTGTGTCATAATAGTTGATAGCTCATCGAGTGGATTCGACCAAGCTACTATAGCGAAGTTTCATTAAATTTTAATTTCGACCTTTGATAGGATCTGAAAACATCTAACCTAGGATCCATTCTCTTCAAAAGGAATGACAAGAAAACATTATTAGTTGAAAAAAATAGAACATTTACGGTACTAATATGGAGACATTGGGAATGGCTGAAATATCGCCACATTTTTCGCTATAGTTCAACACCGTAAGTACCCTTTCGTGTATGCTATTTTCCTTCAACTACGCTTTCAATTATTTGTTATCAGTCTTACTCTTACAATAAAAAGTAATTAACTTGCAATCTTGTGCATGTACTGACTAGTTCGTGAGTGTTCTTTTAATATTTTGAGTAACTCGTTTGCATAGTGCAAGTGACACCGATTACTATACGAAGGTGTACGAGTAATGCCATATACTTCATGAAGTCGTCGTGGCCTAGGGATAAAACGTCCGGCGCAATCATATCAACGGTAATGGTGTTCAAATTCCGCAGGCAGGTACCAATATATCTAATGAAAAACGTAAAAACTTAGAAAATGTTCACGATTGACCTCCACGTTGAAGGAATAACATCGTATCCTACTTGCTTACACCATTCCAATCGGAAACACGACAGCTTCGCGGCAGAAATGTTGTGGTTTCACAATGGCTTACTGATGGTAGGACCTCTTGTGAGTCCGCGCGGGTAGGTACCACCCCCCTGCCTATTTCTGCCGTCAAGCAGTAATGCGTTTCGGTTTGAAGGGTGGGGCAGCCGTACTGAGACCTTAGAACTTATATCTCAAGGTGGGTGGCGCATTTACGTTGTAGGTGTCTATGGGCTCCAGTAACCAATGAACACCAGGTGGGCTGTGAGCTCGTCCATCCATCTAAGCAATAAAAAAATAGCCCAGATTTGACAATTACTTAAATTACTCGAATATTTTCAGGCATAATCCACTGGAGGATTGTAGTGTTAATAATTGTGAATTCACCGGAAACAACCGACTGTTAGACAAGGTTGACGCTGTGGTTGTTCATCTGCAAAAAGGAGTTCTCCCGAACATCTATAATAGAACAAGAACGCAGCGCTGGATATTTTTAACCGACGAATCTCCAATACATCTCTTTGGAAATGAAAAAAACAGACCAAACTTATCGGACTTGGTTAATGTCTTCAATTGGTCTATGACCTATAGGTATTAATGTTAGTTATAGTTTTGTTATTTTTTAATGTAGTTCTAGTAGGAATGGATGAAAGTTTCTAGGAAGAAATAGGTAAGATGGTGGTACTTATTCACCTGGGTTCTCAATGATTTTTTGTAATCAACGAAACATTTTCAATAAGTTATTTAAAATTTATTTTACAGAACTGATGCCGACATTCCTGTTCCATATGGTCGAACAGTACCACTTGAAGCTCCAATATTTACCGAAACAACAAATACGAATATTACTAAACTAATACCTAATTGGAAAAATAAAAGGCGAGATGTATTGGCCTCGATTCTGATGTCTAACTGCGGTGTACCGTATCGAATGAAGTATTTAAATAAGTTGAAAAAACACATGAAAATTGATATTCATGGAAAATGCTCGGATTCACATCTTGTTAACAGGTATTTTGTGTTTGCTTTAGATTTTACGTGGCGTAAACGTGTTTGGATGATAGTTTTCTTTTAAATTACAAACTCAGGCAAGGCGATTACGTTTTGTTTAATTATTGGCGACTGGTTACCGTAAAATGATGGGGCAAAGTGACATCATCGGTTATAGTTACATAATATTGCTATATATTATAATAAGAGAGTTATTTTTTCAAGTTTCGTTTTCAAAATAAAAAATCAGTAGTTTGATAACATGTCGAGGATTGCGACAGAAACTACAGTTCATTTCAGAGTTCTCTGGCGCGTGGAATAAATTATGTTTTAAAGTATAGAAGAGCGGGAAGGCTGAAGGTAACTATCAACCTCGTTCCAATGCCATTTGGTTTTGTTTTGCTAAAGCGGAAACTCGGAACACTTATGTGTTACAAAATATGAGCGAGCCAATATAATATTTTCCATGTTTTTTTTTTCTATGCTCATCGTCAATGATTTTTGTCTTCTACTCTCTGGTTACTATTTTAATTCATATAATTTGCATTTAAATAGAATAATACTTTTTTATTATGTTTAATTTTGTTCATAATTAACAGGCAATAACGTTAATAAATATGTTTCCTGGTAACCCCATTGGCAAACTTAGACTAAAGACAGAGGCTTCATGAAAATTATTTCATATTATTTCATTGTTATTTGAGAACTACGAGATTTGAGTACATTCTGAACGAATTTATAAATTACTTATAGTAAAACCTGTTTTCGTGTGTTCTTTCTTTATTCTATGTTATTTTCGAGGATTTTTTTATGCGCTTCATTTATTTCAACGGCGTTGGTACTACTGCAATATTTTCTATCGACCTTTTATTATAAATTATTAACACTACAATCCTCCAGTGGATTATGCCTGAAAATATTCGAGTAATTTAAGTAATTGTCAAATCTGGGCTATTTTTTTATTGCTTAGATGGATGGACGAGCTCACAGCCCTCCTGGTGTTCATTGGTTAATACGAATACACATTTAAGTCGGGTTTGGAAGCACGTTTTTTCTATGGCTTAGATGGGTGAGAGAGTTCACAGCCCACCTGGTGTTAAGTGGTTACTGGAGCCCATAGACATCTACAACGTAAATGCGCCACCCACATCGAGTTAAGTTCTAAAGTCTCAAGTATAGTTACAACGGCTGCCCCACCCTTCAAACCGAAACGTATTACTGCTTCACGACTGAAATAGGCAGAGTGGTGGTACCTACCCGTGCGGACTCACAAGAGGTCCTACCACCAGTAAAAATTGACGTATATTCTAAGTACGACTTTAATTGTGCGGCTTTTTCTCTGCCGATTGTTTTTTCTGCAGCTTATCGTTCAAACTTAGTTATTAATAATTCGCTGAGTATTTAGGTTTATGCTAAGTATTAATAAAATATCCGAATATTTATTTGTGCTATTCTGTCGCTTAAAAAATATGTTTTGCTGTATTTCCTATTTTATATTTGTTAAAAGAAATCGAATTAATAGATCTGACAAGTTGTATATTTTGAATGTTAAACACGCATACTTGATGATTCGTTTTAATGTAGATGATCCAATAAGATTATAATCATCTAAGAATATTTTTTCAGCTGCCCTGGTCATTTCCGAGCAGATTGCAAGATAATATCAAACTACCTCTTTTACTTCGTATTAGAAAACTCTCTTTGTAAGGAATATATAACCGAGAAGTTGTTTCACCAAGCGTACGCAAAAGGGGCCATACCAATAATCCAAGGTCCGCCTTTAGAAGATTGTAAGAGACTTTTGCCGCCNCGCCCAACAAATTCACTCTCGTTGTTACTGATTCCATAAGGGGGTTTTCTTGGGAAGGTAATCGCGGTGGGTTCCCACGTCCTTCCGCGTCAGACTTTTAGAGGGTATTTAGGTCCTCACGGTTACTGATTACCGCCCAGGGACGCTAGGGCCGCTCAGGGATGTCGGGTTAGTTACCGCCGCCCGATATTCGGCGTTGACTGTTTTGCGGCATGGGTAGATTTCGTCCACACCAACCCTCCTCCTTTCTCATTCGGGCTTGGGACCGACAACGGCGGAGTTAAGTTAATATAATTAATACGTGAAGCAAAAACTTTGTATCCCTTTTTACGAAATTGCGCGGACGGAGGAGTATGAAATTTTCCACATTTATAGAGAACATAGAGAAGCAGTGCTAATATTTTTTTAAAATAATGCGTAAAAGATACATTAAATCAATAAAGAAAACATTACACACACTACCATGTATTTGACACACACACACGCATGCAATTATTTATTGTGAAACGTTCTTGACGTCTGTGGTCAAATTGAGAATAGATTAAATATTGTTTGTCTTTATTAATATTTTTCTATAGTGTAGTCTTGGCGTTGAAAATACAATCATAATAGTGTATAAACTTAAAATTCCAATAAATTATAGTCGAATTTCGACTACTGCGGGACCTCTAGTTAGATTAATTTTATATACCTATAATGCATTTTTATTATATATGTTTTGTTTTTGACATTTTCAATTTTTTATAACACCGAATCCCGACCTAATAAATACCAACTAAACAACGAAAAAAGAAAATCGGTTGAAAAACACGAAGAGAAAATTGGACTTAACTGTTTTGTTTTTGCCTTTTCAACAGAAAACAATATGTAGGGTTACTGACATTATCATGCTATCGTAAACATCATCTTGCGTGTTATCTGAAGATGCGGGTATGCGACTTCAACAACCACCAACAATTATTCACATTTTGACATTTTCTAATTGTACCAAGTGTACCTACAGAGCGACCAGGTCTTCTCCTGCCACGCGGTTGCCACTCAAACGCGATTGATGCTGCGTTGACTTCGTTGCGCCGTAGAGTCTGTCTGTCTATCCAATGCCATTTCCGATGGGCAATATCTTGCGCGATGGGGGTTTGGTCACATTTAGTCCAGATGTTTTTATTAGAGGCTAGCTGACCCGGCAGACTTCGTAGTGCCTCAATCGATAAATAAAATACCCAAACTTTTGTATAAAATAAACTTAAAACAAACAAAAGGAAACCGTTCGATGGGGGACACATAGAAGGGAAAACAAAATTATTATTTTTATTCAATTCCGAGCATTTTCGTATTTATCTACCTTTTAAACCTTCTCTGGACTCCCACAAATAATTCAAAACCAAAATTAGCCAATTCGGTCCAGCCGCTCTCGAGTTTTAGCGAGACTAACGAACAGCAATGCATTTTTATATATATAGATATCGACTGGCTAGAGTATGCGGAGTATCGACCTCAAGCACTTATTTACAAACACCTGCAGTTCGTTCGTGAGTGTCTTGGCCACTCTCAAGGTCTCACATTAAGCAGGAGAACACTTTTGACAATGGAGTCGAACAGGGTCAGCTTGATCCGACGAGTCGTGACACTTGACTTCCAGACTGGTTTCAATTGCGAACGCACCCTTCACTTTCCTAATTCGTGTCTCTATACGCTCGTTCGAATCACTCAGATTGGTTGTGGAACTCCCCATACATGTAAACCTCTGTACTGACTCCAACAATTTATGAAGTCGTCGTGGCCTAAAGGATAAGACGTCCTGCATCCGTTGCATTCGTATCTACCGATACACCAGTATTCGAGTTTTAGCAATTACTTAGCAGGCGGTTACCAATTTTTCTAATGAAATACGTCCTTAACAAATGTTCACGATTGACTTCCATGGTAAAGGAATAACATCCTGTAATAAAAATTAAAACCCGCAAAATTATAATTTGCGTAAATGCTAGTGGTAGGACCTCTTGTGAGTCCGGACGGGTAGGTACCACCGCCGTGCCTGTTTCTGCCGTGAAGCAGTAATGCGTTTCGGTTTGAAGGGCGGGGCAGCCGTTGTAACTTTATTGAGACCTTAGAACCCATATCTCAAGATGGGTGGCGCCATTTACGTCGTAGATGTCTATGGGCTCCAGTAACCACTTAACACCAGGTGGGCTGTGAGGTCGTCCACCCATCTAAGTAATAAAATATAAAAAACACGTTTTCTACCTATGTATCTACCTATGGACGAGTGAGATTCCCTCTGATTGATACCCAAAAGGAACTGAAAGTACCGTAGTGCTTTCACTGGAATGTGTAGTTTTCTCCATCCTGACATCAAATAAAATCTAACAAATCGAATCGAATTTATAAAATGATACAATATATGTATTATGAATTTGAATCGCAAACATGTTTTTTGATTGGGTCTAATCGTACCGTTATGTTATGTTTAATATAAAAATATGATGATGGAAGCGGATGTTTTTGGAGAGATTGTACGGTCTGTTATTTTTATTCTACACTGATACACAAAAGGAATCATTACGGTTATCAGTGGACCCTCTCTAAAAGATTACGTTCCACTACCGCAAAAGACATTTTTCTTCTGTAAATTTTTATCAGAGCAAAGTTCAGCTCAGTAAATTTAAGGAAACATAATTTCTCTCCTTTAAAGAGTACAAAAAATATGAAACTTTCTATAGAAAGTATACATACTTTTTTGTCATCGAATTCAGATGAGAATACAACCTACTTGATCATGAGTGGTCACCGTGGTGCATAGACATCCGCACTGTTTTATTTTCATATATTATGCAATATATATTATATACAATTATACAATGGGGTATGCAATGCCGAGCTTTCAATTACTTTCAAATAATAGAGAGAGAGAGAGAGAGAGAGAGAGAATTATTGCACACCAAAAGACGATTAACATTAAACAAACAGTCAACAAGCAGATACATTTGTAGAATAGGCGATAAGTGTATTATCTATGATAGGCGGTCTTATTCTTCTTATTTTCTTCCAGACAACCGTTTAATTAAGACAAGTTCTGGAAAAGATAAAGATACAGCAGGTATGTTGCGGTGTACTATTAAACACATTAATACATTTTTAAAGAAAATAGATACATACAATAAATAGATATGTACCGCAATAATAATATGTACTTACAGAAGTTTCTATTTGCCTGTAAAGTTTGTTACAATGCCATTGAGTTACTACTGGATTTAGTTTAGTCAGTTACATTTTATTGCATAGGCGGATGAACCAACTCACTGCCCATCTTATCTTGAGTAATTAGCGGAACCTATAGACCATGCGTTTTGAGGCCAAATTTCCAAATGTATTCTAAAACGCCTGTTCCATTTTTCAAATCGAGCACGTGATTATATATTGGTGAATTAGCAAATTGAAGAACTTCCAACCGTAGGGGCTCGCAATAAAGGCTTCGTCATTGGCATGACACTAGTGTTAAATATTTTAGAGAATACATTGTATTGGCATTTGTCCTTAAAAGCAATTGTCTTCAGATTTCAATCATAAATACACCAAGCATATCCGGAAATAAAAATTACGAAGGAATAATTCTAACCAAAGGGAACTGTGATTTTTAATTGTTCGAAAACAAAGCGAAGCTTAAGGGTACAGCGAAAGTCATTAATTTCAAAAGAGTTCACAAAGTTTGGGTTTTCGGTTCGTATCCAGTATTTGTAACAAAATTTGATAGCATTGTTATTCGGAACGAAAATGACTTGTTTTAAATTTATTACAGAAGTTTGTTTTTTATTGCTTCCCTGTACTGTTTAAAGGGTGTTAAATAAGTTTTGTTATTATAAGATCGCGCCCGTTGGCGAAGTATCAAAGTATTTTATTATCAAATCTTTATTACTTTTGGGATTTAGTATTCGTATTTAATACAACTTGGACGGTAATTTTATGCGTAATCATAATAATGTAAAAACTTTTTGTGTTTTCATCGCTCACTAAGTTTTCCTTATGAAAATAAATATATTGGAATATCTAAACAGATAGATCTATATTCAAACATAAAACAATGGCAGTACTTTCACAATTTTAACACTTATTATAACGTCTAAACAGTCGAAGAACGATAAGGTTGGCAAATAAAGCATTCGCCATTGCATCTAAAAACTTCAGATTCCCGCCAAAACATTGCACAAGGCGTCATTCCAGCGATAGTCTTCTTCATAAAAATAATATATTTGGTGATTAAGTCTCCGAGCGAAATAATCCTACCTCCACTCAATAAAATAATAAACAAATATAATTTCTTTGTGATTTGGAATATGTGTTATTTGAATATACTAATTAGTGTTCACCCGAAGTTCAACATTAGACCAAAATCGCTGACACGTAAAGTGTACATTAATTTTAAGCATTACATTTTGTTTGTTTGTTTGACAAGTAAAAAAAACTAAGTCAACACTACTAAAGCCAATAGCTATTAAACAAAAGAAAAGGAAGTCGACTGAAAAAACAGAAGAATCTCTAATTCTTTACCTAATTCGATTGCCTTTGCTGTATAACGATGTTCCTATGCCAAATATAGTTGATGAAGATGGAAACTTAGTTCAGAAAATGTGCAATACTAATTGACAGCACTGTGCTTTTAGTTGAAATTTTACAACAAATCACAGAATAGTATAATTCTGCGGATAGCCCCGAAAATAGTATTACATGGGTTTTACTGTCTCATGCGAATTGTAGTAATTTCCCGGACAGCTGTTTGTTTTAGTTTACGATCTCGTAATAAAAAGTAGCTACAACATACTTGTAGTTTCCGAAACAGATGAACGGAACGTCCATTTTAATGCGACCCGTTTACTCTAAAGCCAACACCTTTGTAATGCCGAGATTTGTTTTTATGAGAAAGGCAGGATATGCCAAGGTTTTCTGGTTCAATAAACAGTAAATTACAGTCGCACGGAAGTCGAATTATTCCGTGTATTAAAACTCAAGTTATACCCAGAGCAACATGTTAGTTGTGTTCTTTC